GCAGCGGTGTTAACAGAAGGACTTTGTAACACCCTGAAAATTTCGACTTTGAAATATGGTAACAAAAATTGAGGTAATCAAAAATGTTTTCCCAAAATTCATTGGTGCTGGAATTTGTTGGATTTTGTTTCTTATTTCCTGCGGTATTTGGTACGAAAGGACAGATGTCTGAAAATATGCTTGTATTTTGATTTCAAAATATTATTTATTCAAAGAACCATGATTATTAAATATGTTAAATAAAAAAATATTTACAAAACCCTCCGCAAACTTCGCCAACAACGCCTTCGCCCATCGCCCGCATCGGCGAAAGAGTCCGCGTCGGCGAAAGAGCCCGCGGCCGCACTGTGGGGTCCGCAACCGTCAGCGCCTACTGCTGACGGAGCATGCCCCCGCCCGCAACACCCCGGCCCGCAGCGCCTCGCCCCGTACCACGACCAGCACCATGGTCGCCACTTCTCCGCTCGCCGCTATCTCCGTCGTCTCCACCGCCGATTCGCCGCTCCATCCCCACTCGTTTGGGCTACACTGCCTCCACTCACCCTCCACTCGTGGCAACTACAGAAAAGGGACACAAAGCCATCCCCCCTCCCTCCTCCTCCCTTTTAATTAAAGGGGCACGCCTAGCAAAATGGCTACCCAAGTACACAAGGCTATGGAAAATTTTGATAAACTGGTGTAATCTGGATCAAGCAGTCAATTATAACTGCCTTCGGATTACCTCAGTTAACAACAATAACCCCTGCAGAGGACACGGGTATCACTTGCGACGTCCGGTCATTGTGCACTGTGGTAAGGTAAAGGTGCCGACACCTGTAACCACGAGGAATATCAACCTGTTCATACTAAAAGGAGTCTAAGATGATCGCGGCGGTAATCAAAATTATTCTTCATCAACCCGACACTAATCCCATGCGAGTTGGAATTCTGTGTAACTTATCATCTTGGTTTCTTCAGGAACATTCTGAAATTTAGTTCTAAAGACTCCCATCTCCCAATGTGACACCAGGTGGTTCAATCGAACCAGCGACGACCCGCCTCAACGCCATGTTTGGCCGCGCGCTCGGGCATCCAGTGCCTACTGAAGGCTGACGACAGGCGTAATCGTCCCTATGCGGGCGATTTTCATTGGATTTACTATGGGTTGCGAAAAAACTAGTAAATGATGAATTACTGAATATACAGCTTCCAATTTCAAAGATTAGAGAAGTAGTTTAATTGAATTTTCAAAACTTGAAAAATATTTTTTTAAATGAATATATAGTTTGAAAAATGTGGATTTTGTCATAATCATGTATTCACCTTCTATCACTATCGTTGGTTCATGCAAAATTTGTCAAAAAATATTTATTATTTAAAATTTCATTTGTCTAATTTAGTTTAGAATTTAATAATGTTGTGAATTCCAACCACTCTTTTTTTATAAAGAAAAATATTATGTAGTGAGGACACTTATGATTTTGAAAAATACAAACTAGGGCAATGAACGTTTTATGAAAAAATGATGGTCTTCTGATGGCCAACTTACAAAATGGGCATGTCCGGGAGCAATATTGTAATACCCTGAGTTTGAAATTAGTGTATTTCGGAAAATCTTAGAAGAAACATGCAAAAGTTCAACTTTTAAACCGTTGTTTGAAGAGGAGATCAAGAACCGTAGATGCGTAGAGCTCGCCGAGTAGTGCAAAATAGACTATAAGTTTATAGTAATCGGAGTCAAAACGAAGTTCCGGGGATTGAATTAATGTGGGCCATTCGATCTTTAGTAGCCTCGTTATTTAATTAACAGAAAAAAAAAGCTAGCAGCTAGCCCTAGCCGTCGTCGTCCGCATCTCCGCTTCTCACTACTAGAAAAATAATTTATCGCCACGAAAAAAACGTAGCATCAATGCAAAAATTATGGCAATAGGTACATGTTGCCACAATCTTAAATTCGTTGCTAGCCGTGGTAATAAATAGCGTAATAATAGGTTATTGCAACAATTTTTATTTAGTTGTAACAAATTTTGATATTGCCATAAAATGGATGTGGCAAAAAATATATTGCAACACTTCACATCGTTGCAATAGATAACTATTGCCACCACTCCATGTGTGGCATTAGTTCTACATACCTAATTAAAAGTTTCACTATTAATTTATCATCCTAACTATATCTTTTGATATTTGATATCTTCTAACTACTTTCTTTTGATATTTGATATCTTGTCATGGCTAGGATTCGAACCCAAGATCTCTCCTTCACGCGCGCTTTCCATTACCAACTCACCTACACATCAATTTTGTTTAAAAATACATATCATTCCATTTGAGCCTGCCTATCTGAGATTTGAATCATGAATTTGAGTACTTAAAAAGATTTTGAATGAAAAAGTTAAGTTGTAGAGCTCTTAAATGAAAAAGTCAAATTATGAGATGATAAATTTTTTATTGTAACGAATTTGTTGATAATGACAACAGAAAATAGTGAAAATTACCATGTACTATGCAAATCGCCACATAAATTAAAATTGTGGCGATAGAACATTTTATTTGCAATAGTAATGTTTTTTGTGGCGATAGCTCATTTCCTATTGCAACAAAAATACTGAATAAAACAATGATTGTAAATCGTTGCAACAAAATATAGTTATCTGCCACAGAAAAATTATCATTGCGATAGTACAATATATTGCCACGAATCATTTTTCATTGTAATAAATTGGTGGCAATAGCTCAATTATCTTGTAGTGTCTGCGCAGCCGCTGCTGGTGCATCCAACGGAGGCCGCCACACCTTTCCCACGGCACCCATGGAACTCACGTATTCTTTTCTCCCTTGCTAACCATACTCCATGGATCTCCAAGAACCATCAAGAATCAGATTGAAAAAACGGATCGAGGAAGATGAGGGGAGCATGAGGAGTGGTGGGTTGGTGTTCCCACCATATTCTCACAAGTTCTCCAGCAAACCCTAGGTGAGGCTTGCCTCTCCTGTAGCAGTGGTTGTAGGTTGTTTTAGGGTTTTAATTCGTCCTTTCTAGAGGGTTAGAGGACGCGTTTAGGTGCTGTGTTTTGGATTGTTAGTTCGGGGCGCTGTCAGTTTTTTTGTGTCTCTGTATTTCGCCAATTGGACGATCAAAACGATTTTTGCTACGAAAGCATATAACTAGGAAGTTGTAGACAATATTTGAGTCTATATTCTGACCAAAGGGTGTGATTTTATCTCAAGTGGTTTAGGAGACGTAAATTTTTTGAGTATGACCATTATTTTTATGTCGTAATCTGGATAGCAGTAGATTGAACTGTTTTTGGAGGGGTTAAACGGCGGAATCCATAGTGAGAAGCAGTAGATTGAACTGTCAGGTCGCCTATAGACAAAGTTGTAGAGGTTTTTCTTAGATTTCAATATTGATAAAGTACACCTTATTTGGGCAAGTAGAACTCCAGTTATGGTTGTTTTAGTGTGGACAATCAGAATTCTTGGGCAAATTCTGAAGCTCGTTTTGATGTGCACATTAGGCCTTTTAAATAGCAAAATAAAAATATGGCTTCTACGTGGAAGTTGTAGGTCTCATTCTGTAGTTTTCTAAAATGTATTCGTTTCCTGTGTTAAACTTAATGAATAGTGAAGTAACAGTGTTGTTTATAGACGGGAGTGGTGTTTTCTGTTTGGTTTAAGGTCGGGATAGGGCCATAGGAGCGTGCCACTTAATTTATTATAGTTTGTTTTCTAAGGTTTTGTTTGTGATTAGGTCGTGGTCCTTCGGATCGTGTATGATACCAACCCTTCATTGCAGGTAAGTGTATGACGAACTAATTGTGTGATCATTGGATTGATTGCTCTACCAATTTATTTCCAATATATTTCTATGTGATATGTGAGTGCTTATGTTCAGATTGTTGTCCAGGCCATTTAGATTTCCACTTTATCTTATGTTTACGATGTTATTCTTGTTTCAAATTCCGGACTCTGGTTCTAGTTAAATATATCAAGTTCCACGCTTGATATGGATGTGCAATATGGTTTCAATTTGATTCTTTGTTTCCGGCTTCAATTATTCATGTTCCATGCGAGTCATGGATGTGCTATCTGGTTTTTAATCATGTTCATGTGGGTAAGCGCTGATCATGCTTACTCGGCTTTGTCGGCAATGCTAGGATGTATTCACAATTGTCCGGGATGGAAACTACTATGTCAATTCATGTCTGCTTGGGATGGGAACTACTATTTTCTTTGATTTGGTGTTTAAAAATGTGTTTCTTATCAAAGAATGAAAGCTTTCAGTTTATGCTCTATTGCCAATGATGTGTGTATGTGTTTTCTAGTTCTATATTATACTTGCTGAGTATTTCCGTGCTTACTCTTGTGTTTATTTGGTTTTAGGTACACATTGAGATCGACATGCATGGGCGGGAAGTAACACCCATATATACGCATCTATATGCACACTATCAAACTATATTACTTAGGTTCATAATGATATTTGAACTATATCCTGGTTTGGTCTTATAATAATCTTTTAGATAACTATAAGTTTCTTTCCATGGATTCTATGGATGGATAGCACTATGGGAATGATGTTATTATTAGTTTAATCTATAACCGCCTATCGTGGATGTCCATATTTACAGGAAAGACTTTGTCGAAATTCTTAATGAATTTAGGATTTAGTGGTTTTTGTTGCGTAGCGTGTAGCATTCTAGGTAAGAGAATACCTGGGGTGTTACAAGTATAAAAACTTAGGGAAAAGCTCACGGCATGAAAGTGATTAGCTAAATATTTATGGGCATACAATGAATTTTCTCTTATTACAGTCATAATATGAATATATTTTTGTGATTGCTAATATCATGCTGAAATCATGGTGGTATTTATCAAGCATGTCTAGGTTGTTCCTACATAACATTTCAATATATTGTACCTAGATCGTCAATATAGTAAAATATATGTCGTGGTACTGATCTAGACATATTTATTAAAATATAGGATGAATATATATATGTGTAAGACGGCTCTCTTTAACCCTTTTTAGCTAGAAGTCGGTGGCGAAACTCTCCAAGAGCCCATATTGGAAACAAGTTCCTGTAGTTTGGGTAATTGAAGAACAAGGAGGAATTGAAGCTCCCGACTATTTCCTGCAATTGAAATGTAAATGCCTAAAAGATTTATATTTATTCTACGAATCTATCAATAGTTAAGTGGTAGGAAACATCTAAATATAAATAGAAGACCAGAAGTTGTTGCTAGTCTCCCGTTAATAACACGCTATGTTTGGGTGACCTGCCTAGAGATATAGCTCCCACAAATTTGGTCCTTTTGAAATGCTCTGCTTTACTCAACTAGGGCCGTGTTTAGTTCACCCCCAACTTCCAACTTTCCTATCACATCACATCAAATCCAAAACTTTCATACACACATAAACTCCCAACTTTTTTTCCAAACTACGAACTTTCCCTAAACTTTCAACTTTTTTCAGAACTAAACACAGTCTAGACAACTCTCTATGATTTTAGGTCAACGACATGACAGACGACAGTGCTATTTTCCACTAGTAACTCAACTTCTATTGGTAAAAATACCTAATAGATAAATTTGAACTAAGCACACATACTTGTTGTGGAAATTCTCCTGTATCCAGTTGCATGTTGATTAATTCCATTGCAGCACGGTGTAGCGGTATTGGATCTATTTCAACCTGCCCACGGAGTCAAACGTTTAGGAAAGATACATGAACTAATATGAAAAAATAATTTGAAATATGAAATTGGACTACAATTAAGTTCCATTTGTGCAACAAAAAGAAATCTTACATGTCCAGCATATATCAGACCCAACATTGCCCACGCAGTGTTCACTGCATGAGGCCTTCCACTGTCGACATACTTCTGTTTAATTTGAGCGCAATAAACGATAAGTGGAACAATATATATCTACTTAAATAGTGAATAAAGTGCACTGCGAGTACACGAGCTTGCGAGGTGGGTGCAATTTAGTATATGAATTTGTAATAGCTTGTTTTGATAATAAACTTGTTTGGTGCATGCAAGCTAAAGCTAAAAAAACATACCATACTAAAATACATGTGTTGAATGTCGATTAGTGTGGTATCTAAGCTCGCATGTCATGATAATATGACATACATATGCATATGATGATAGAATAATTAATGTTCGTTGTACAACTAAAAATATATATAATATAAATGGACTATCTAATGAATAAAAAATAATGAAGGACCAAATAGAATGCAAATTATATGTGTATAGGTGACATAGTAATCAAACTGTAACTTGCATATTAGTCACAATACATCATTTTGTAGTTGGTTTGCATGTATTATACATGTCCGTGCACCATAAGACCATTATACAAGTTTATATATTAAATTGCACCAACCTGACAAGTTTATGTAGAGCCAATGCAATTTAGTCTTAAAACATTTAACTAGAAGGTTAAATCTAGTCGCTTGTTAGTTTCTATGTTTTAATGTGACTACTAACACAAGCTTAATTAACATGTCAGATGTCAGATTTTGTAAGCATTAATACTGCTGTAAATTGTACTGGTGCATAGTACATACATATATTTGGCCTCTCAGATGTGCCTCACGTCAAATATATAAGCACATACATGAAGCTTCACAAATAGTTATTCAGCACACATTATGTTTTCCTATTCAACCAGGGAACACGATCAGTATGAAGGGATAGAGGAGAAAGAACTAAATTTCGTTATACACAATGCGTGTTGAATATTTGTTCTATCAGTTAAATCAAAGTTGTGCCAACATGATTAGAAGGATTCTGCAGTCCAGTTTTGCTTGCACATAGAACCATCTAGGTATCTTTCTTTTTTCTGTTTTTTTCTTAAAACAGTCGCTGTTGTTAGGATTAGCAATTCACTCTAACAGACAACATTTAATTTACTTGTACTTTACAGTTTAAAGTTTATGCAAAGGAAATTATCTTTGAAATCCAAGAACAGTGATGTATACCAGCTAACTGAATACTTTGAGGCTAAATGAGACAATAATTTGCTGAATACTTTGAGGCTAAATGAGACAATAATTACCTCAACTTGACAACAAATATAGTTCTCTCCCCATCCACCTGTAGTAAGTTGTTTTGACAGCAAAAAGTTACACGCCTTTCTGATAGAAGAACTGTTCTGATATGTTCTTCCTGCCGCAACTAGTCCTTTTATAGCGAAGAAAGTAGCATATGTAAAGCATATAGCCCAAGATCCGTACCTATAATGTTAGTTTGAATTATAGTGTAAAGGATATAACTTGCAAAAAATCAACTTTGATATTTTTTATACCAAGAACCATCCTTTCGCTGTTGTTTCTCAATAAACAATGCACCACTTTTGATAATTTTTTCTATTTCTTCATGGCGATAACTAGGATAAATCCCATTAAACAATATCAAGGCTTGAATAAGAGATGACGTGCACTCCACATACCTGCATATTAATTGGTGGAACACCTCGGGTTAGTTCCGTTATAAGTTGGAACCTGAGTAATTATATGACTGGGTCAAGTATGAGTACGAATCTCTCTTACGGGTAATCAACAATGATGTTCCGGAAACTCTCAGAAGGGTTGATAAACTATGCCATCAATAATAGCTCAATGTTAGTATGCAACTAGAAGAATTTATTATGAAAAATATTTTGACAAGGTAACTAATAATGATAAGGAAATGATTAATTTGCATATGAGGGGAAATACAAATATTCAAATATTGCATGATGGCCGAACATTTTCCTAATGGACCAACAGCGAAATAAGGTATACTCATAACCTTCAGGTTTTTTTTCAAGACAATGTTTCATAATATTAAAGTTTACGTTAATATTATTTTAGATAAACATTTTTTCCTGAACTGTGCATAAGAATAACCAAGTTTCCTCATAACACAAGCAGTTCTGTATTTTATTTTGTTGAACGATTTGTGTCATAAAAAATAGAGCCCAAATCACAAAAGGCCCAAAGGCTACTGCCACTTGAACCAGTATGCACACAGCCCACACACCACAATATTTATATATGTGCCTGCACTGCTACCCTATATAGACGGCTTTCACTTTTCTTTTTCTCATTTGATGGGCGTTTGGTGTTCTTGTTTTCTGTTAGCGTTGGGCACTGATGGCGGGCTACACAGCTAGCACGGCATGGCCCATGGGGCGAATGCCAGTAAGGCAGTCACTAGGAGACGTCGTTCAGAGTGGGTGCTGAAGCTGAGGCACTAAAACATCCCAGCCCCCAGAAGTCTGCTTTGGCAGGCCGATGTTAGGTAGGGATTTTAGCCTATTCCCCTACCTAGGAGGAAAACCCCATCATGAGAGAGAAAAATACCTATAGTCCGATAAAATATGTTATCTGCCTCGGCCCGCTAAAGTAAAATCACAACATGAGTATACATAGTTCATGAATTTCATCCTGGGTGGCTGACATGTCACCATTTCTCCATCGCCCAAGGGCTTCTGCCCCTGCATGACAAGTTGCATGTCGCATTGAGCACACTGCGCTCCTCCTCCCTCCTATCTTCACACTACAGATCCTTCTTTCCGGGCATTGTCACCCGCTCACCGACTTCCACCATCACGACCGTCACGACTTACACAGCCACATCATGCTGTATCATGATGTCTTTCGAGGCTGATCTTGGCAGGTAGAACAACATGTAGGTCCCAAAAGGACCACGTTGGTTTCCATCCATAGTTATTTTTTCCCCTTCCAACTAAGGAACATCTAGTGTACTTCATGGCATTTAGCACTGGATTTCTTGCCCGATCTATGAACTTGTGATATGTGGGCTAGTGTTGATGTCAGTAGATTTTTGTGATTTCGTGGAATTAGTGATGCTCTTGTGAATCGAATTATGCCATTCTGTATTGTATATGCTGAACATCTAAATGCATGCCTACTTCATTTCTACCGTTGATGCTGGCAACCAAATGCAGAATCGTAATGTTTTAGAAGTTTCCATTTTTTTCAGAATTTTCTTGTTGTTTACGGAAAATTTCTGATTTCTTGTACCTTGCTGTGATCCATATTTAAATAACCTACTGATTCTCACTAGGTCCGGTACTCTAGTGTTGTGCTCCTGATGGTGGTAGCAGGGGTGACCAAATAGGGTTTTTTTTAAGAGAAGGGTTCAGTTCGTTGGTCCTAATTCTTGTAATGTCGGATTGCAACTCTCTTCTTCATTTCTGCTATTGATGCTGGCAACTAAATGCAGAATCGTAATGTTTTAGAAGTTTCCAATTTTTTCAGAATTTCCTTGTTGTTTACGGAAAATTTCTGATTTCTTGTACCTTGCTGTGATCCATATTTAAATAACCTACTGATTCTCACTGGGTCCGGTACTCCAGTGTTGTGCTCCTGATGGTGGTAGCAGGGGTGACCAAATATGTTTTTTTTTAAGAGAAGGGTTCAGTTAGTTGGTCCCAATTCTTGTAATGTCGGATTGCAACTCTCTTCTTCATTTCTGCTGTTGATGCTGGCAACTAAATGCAGAATCGTAATGTTCTAGAAGTTTCCAATTTTTTCAGAATTTTCTTGTTGTTTACTGAAAATTTCTGATTTCTTGTACCTTGCTGTGATCCATAATTAAATAACCTACTGATTCTCACTGGGTCCGGTACTCCAGTGTTGTGCTCCTGATGGTGGTAGCAGGGGTGACCAAATAGGTTTTTTTTTAAGAGAAGGGTTCAGTTTGTTGGTCCCAATTCTTGTAATGTCGGATTGCAACTCTCTTCTTTTACCCAGCCTCTACATCCAACCGGATAAATGCAGCCATTTAAATTGGTAACTTAGCCCAACAAACAACCCAATCTGAAATTCGCTCATATGGAGATTTGAACTCATAACCTTGAGGTGCTACTCAGGTCGTGGCAACCACTAGGCTACATGTCCTTTTGCACCTACTAGGTGGATAGGTGTAGTATTTTTGTTTTTGAGTTCCCATAGTTCTCTATCTGGCAAATTAGCATTTGCTCAAAATCTGAAATCAATAAGTGAGTGTCTGAAGATTGAAGGCATAATTATGTAATTTCTATGTTCAAATTTTGTAGAATCAATCATGGACAGAAGAGTAAAATGTACAATCTTTTCTTCTTTAGCTAGGATGGTGTCACTGAATTCTGATTTTCCATCACTGATTAAATTTAGACAGACTCTATTTGTGTTGTGTGTTCATCAAGAAATTTAGACTTTGCTCTTAGAGATCTTTGAGGGCACAGTTAGGGTAATTTTCCTTGGTCAATAACACTGTCAAAGCATAACTTTTAGAGCTATACAAGTTGCATTATCGCTGTTAGCTTTGTCCAAATCAAGCTGACGTGGCAGACTTAATCTCTCAGCGATCCCACGGCTCTTAAATAAAAGAATATGTAGGTAACTGTGATCTGAAAGAGTTAAGGATGTGATGATCTCAAAAAACCTAGTTATAACCCGTAATACACTCACCTCCACCCAAGGAGTTGTTCTCTTAGATTCAGCCGAGGACAATGTGCCATCCTTGTTCTTTGAGAAAATATAAAACATAATTGCATCAAATATATTTATGTTATAAACAATTGAAAAATACAAATTATGTGAACTTCAAAAAGGGAAATATTAATTTTTGATCTTCACTCATAAAGGCATGCTTTGATCTTATATGTGTTTCGAGAAATGGTTTTGCTTGTTATGAAGAATGTGTATAGGCTATTTTCCAATTCGTATTAACAAACAGTAAATATTATCTTTACTTAATCATTTCATGTTGTAAAGGCATATATCAAATGTTCATTATTTATTTCAATAATTATGATTTTGTTGGATTGAGTAAGTGAATTGAAATATTAAAATTACAAGAATAGTTTCGACTTGCTCACATAACAGATAGAAGTTTCTATTACTAACTGAAATGGATCAATCAAGTTGAAGTCACACACTTCTTGATCTCAACTCAGTGTAAAACATCACAAATAATATAAGGGAAATCTATACATAATATAATTTTGATTAGGTTCGTACCACAAATGAAAGTAGGCAGTCAACGGCATCAAACAACCTTTCTTCTTTTATAGAATCTCCTACTTGGTTTGAAGGAATCTTTGACAACAACAATATCGCCTGAACATATAAAAAAAATCGAAACAATCAGAATTAGTTCAGGATGTTTCACTTTTTCCATTACATTGATTGCAATGTCCTGAATACTGGGAATTTTTTTTATATATTTAGCTATCGTCTTATTTTATAATGTCCTACTGAAAACGAACATGATCCTTTAAAAAAATCCAAATTTAGACTGGTCATCTTAGGACCAGATCATTCCGGCCGACATTCAAGCTAGGTCTGTGTTAAATCCACATCTCTTTCCCCAATGTTCTCCTCCCACTTACTCTACGTTTTCTGTCATGCTGTACACTAGAAGCCGTCACCACAATATAACCTAAGGATAAATATGCCCACTGCTTTTGTTGTCGAGCCATCCACCATCATATTGTTCTCCCTTATTTATCTTATGGTTGTACCGGTGTAGACCGGGAGGAGGGTCGAAGATGATAGGCAAAATTTGCTACAGGTCACCCAAAGTTTATAGCCTTTGCTATGACAAACCCAAAAAACGGGTATCTTTTCATGGATACTATAAAAATGTGGTAATTAACTGTTAGACACCCCTCCCATTTTTTTATTATTTCCGACGAAAACAAAGAGAGAGAGTGTTGAAAGTACCAAAATGTCCTTACGCTGTTTTGCTCGTAAAGTCGGCCGTTCGAACTAGACCCGATACCCTCTCGTGGGCACAACGAGGCAGTACTACCTCGGCGAGTTCCCGGTCGTGCCCGCCAGGACAGGGGAAGCTGTCGCTGTTGACCGGCGCCGCTGCGCCGACCATCGTGTCCAAGGGCTCCAGGCTGTACCTCGCGTTCCTGTTCTCCGGCTAGCCGCGCTCGGACCTCGTCTACGCCGTTGGCCCCGCCGGCAGCTTGTCGAGTCCAATGGCCTCCTCCCACAGCAGTAGGACATGACGAGTGGCACCATCATCCTGACCACCGGCACCGATGGCGGCGGCAGTGGTAACAACCAATTACATGCATTATTGCATTGTCTCTTGTTAGTTCTTGGGTTTTTAGCTGATGTCATGTGGGTGGTGATCTGCAGGTGACGGCAACAAGAGCAACGAGGACGGCAAAGGCAAAGGCAAGCACAAGCACTCAGGAGGAGACAGCGGCGACGGTGACGAGGGGAAAGGCGAAGTGCGCACATTGCCATCCTCGTTGTCCAGAGCAACAGCGAGCGGCACCGCCAGCAACCTCAACTCGAAGTGTCGCCATGGCGTGCTCGCGGTGATCAACTGGTGCGCGATGATCCCCACCGGCGTGGTGATGGCACGATTCCTGAAGCGGTTCGACCCGCTCTGGTTCTACGCACACGCTGCCGTCCAGGGTCTCTTGGTGGCCATTGCCGCTGGGTTCAGGATGGACATGTCATTTTGGTACTTTCAACGCTCTTTCTCTCTCTGTTTCCGCCAGAAATAATAAAATAATGGGAAGGGTGTCCAGCAGTTAATTACCACATTTTTACAGTTCCACGAAAAGATACACGTTTTTTGGGTGTCTCACACAAAGGCCACAAACTTCGGGTGTCCTGTAGCAAATTTTGCCAAGATGATAACACTAGCTCTAACTTCGCCAATCAAATAGTCAAATATAGTGCCCGAAGTGTAAGGAACATACGACTGTTGTCCACACAACGAGGATAGAAAAACGGGCAGCCACGAATGGGCGAGGAGAATGCTAGCGGCTTTACCCTTTCATTCTAGATCTAGTGCGTGCACATCCGCATGTTGTTGAAGATAGGTAATATGAGGAAGGAAACAAATGCTGGCTACATGGTTACAGATGGCCTTGTCATTGCTGCTGGGAGCAGCTGGGCGACGAACTCTATGGAAGGTTGGCAAAAGAATAGGGACCGAGTGAGCAGCTTGGATGATGAGACATTGAGCCGTCAAGGAGTAGCAAGAAGGTAAGCACTGGCGAGGTAGTAAGGATCCACGCGTGGAGGCAGGAAGACAGGAGATGGCTACTCATTGCAGGGGTGAGTTTGGGCATGTCATCTGGAAGCACACATCGTGGGGAGGAAAAGGAAAAGAATATAAGGTACCCATGCTGCACGAATGTTGGCTCAATCTGGGTCGGCCATGCAAAAGAGGATAAACTATGTGAGTATTTTCTGGTGATGAAAAGTGGACAACCCCTTATCAATATTACTCTGCTAGTAAACAGTGTTTTTATCGTTAACAAGTGAAGGTGGTAATAGTGGATCTTTAGAAACAGTATTGGTGGCTGGTTTTTGAGTGTAGCCATCATCATAATTGTTTTTATAAATTACCTAGGTAGCATGGTATTTCAAATTAGTTATAAGTGGTTGTCAGGAGATTTCTAACTTCTTCGTGCATGTCTTGCTTAACTGAGAGTGGAATACCCACTTTTAACCCAGCTTGGGGGCATATTTTCTATTTTGTATGGATTGTCTAGTGAGCATGCATGGTCTGGACCTGCATGAACTGGATTGCACAATAATAACTACATTAGATAAATCATGAAAAGTAATATATCTCACAGGCCACAGCAGTCAATGAAAACTGTAAACTTCAGGACCTTAAGGCACTCTGCAGTAGTATCTGCAATAGGCCAGCCATTTTCTCCATTTGTTAAGGTCCATGAACCTTTTGATCTTTCACGGTAAAAACTGCTGTAACTTGGACAATTCTTAGTGACCTTCGTGAAAATGAACAATAATATCAAACTTTAGCAATTACATAGTGTATGCCTAAATTAATGTACATATGGAATTGAACAAACCTGTGAATTCTTTATAAAATCATGAGCTTTTCTAAGAGTTGCGGCAAACTCTTTGGTAAGGCCTGACGAGCAATAGGCCTGGACTATAAGTGCAGTTTCCCAGCACTGGCAACCACCATATACCTATTATTGAATAGAAAAAGCATAAACAATCATCACACATTATGAAAATTAAAGTATTTATAAAACAAACAACAAATAATACTAATAGCTGCATATATGTGTAAGTGCTTTCTAGGACATTTACCGGTAAAGCCATACCACAGTTACAGATACTGGGATAGTAATTCTTTACCAATAGACAGCTTGATGGGATATTTACCGGTAGACTAAGTGGTATGGACAGACAACTGCCTCCTATCCGATGTTGTGGTATAGTATTGTTGAGGTGGATAAGATAAGGAGGTGCTCTGGTAAAAAATATAATGGAGGAGGGCATTGTGCTCGGGCCGGTTTTTTTAATAGGTGCCAGTTTTCGGGACCTATAGTATAGGTACCGGTTTTTTCTCTAGAACCGACACCTATTGGTTTTTCCTCTAGAACTGACACCTATAGTGTTTAAAGGTATCGGTTCTATATTTTTTCATTACATTACATGGAGGTGGAAAAAGGTTCATCGGTGCCGGTTTTAAATAAATCGGCACCTATGAGCCGACACCTGTGAAGGGTTTTGTAGTAGTGTTGTCATGCCAAAATTTATAATATTAATGGAGGTATACGAAAATGATATATCTAAGTTGGAATATCTATGATTTATGCTACAAAACTAGATCATTCATCAAAGTCATATTTTAATTTATTTTAAAGTTGTACTATATCCTTTTTTAATATATGAAGCCGTTGACTTTTGGAGTACCGTGTGACCATTCAACAAAGTCATACTTAAAGTTTCTTTAATCACAAAATATGTCGCAACAAAATAAATAAAATTTATATCTCTATTTTTTAATTGGACAAATGTTCAAATGCAGGATCATCTATTAGAAATTGGTGGGAGTATAATGTTGATTTTAAACAGGCCCAAAACGCAGGCCCATAACAATGCCATTTCCATTCGATAGGCTTGTTTCCTGCCTGCCATCCTTCCCTCAACTCATCCTCCTCTGTTCCTGTAACACATGTCTCTTTCTCCCTTTTTCTGTATGTTACATTATATAACATCTCATCTATGACTGTTATAAGTGTAGTTCTTTTATTGCTCAGTGATATTTGTGTTTGTTATGGAAAAATTGAACTATATATGAAGTAATAAGTTAAACGATAAGATAGTTTTGTATTGTGCAAATTCAAAAAAGTTGTAAATGATAAGTTATCTAATATAAAAAAAATGCATAAATCATACCTTTGACTTCATTCCATCTTCTGCTAGCCATAAGAAATCGTGAATCCTTGGAAGATGTTGCCTGAATGCATAAGAATTTGGATTTTCTATCCAGCAACATATCATATTTAATACCTAATTATAAGATAATATAAGTGGAAAGTACCGAGAACAATGAGTATTTCAATTGTCAAGATGGTTTCCCGTAAAAAAAAGAACCTCCAACAGGTAATAGTTGGCATGTGTTGACCATGTGCATTATGATATGGCTAGAACTTGGATTATAATTCTTGTCTTCCATGCATAACTTAGATCGGTTTACTTCACTATATGACCCATGCGATTCAACCATGACACCTCCATGCATGTTATCCTTTTATATGAAAATACAGTAATAAAGGTGCAAGTACATATATATATTCACACATATGCTGATTAGCGTTGGGTACAATGCAGATCGTGGATACTAGTAGGTTTCTGATAGTACAAGAGCATAAACACATCAATGCATTGGTCCATGTGCATGTGGCCCCATGGAAAGCCTAAGGAAGGTCATGTGTTCAACTATTCTGAAAGAAAAATAGAAGAGTGTTGAGCTTGGAAATATTGTTGCATATAGTTCGTCTAGTTAGGAAACATAGATACACCACCCATGTCCTAGCAGTTGCTACTGCGCATGTACCACAGCCACCTTCGGCTGACATCATCCATCACAGCTACCCCTGGCTGTTGTTTTCGTGTGTATGTTGCTGCTCTTCTATTTCTGTAACACCCCAACCTCCAAACCTTTAGTAGCCTAGCTCTACGCGTTGAGCAGGCCCACGCTCACGTAGCACCCCACTTACACTTTTGTTCTCTACTCGTGTAAACAGGTTAAACTAGAGGTATTATGGTTGGAGTGAACTGGGTATATAAGCTGGCCCAAACCTATCTAGACTCTTCATGTAGGACTACTCTCAAACGAACACTTTGGTCTAGCGTGTCTAAATTGGAAAAAGAACACACCTGGGCCAAAACAAACTAAATGGTTGTTCGATCTGTACATTGCTTCTTCTACTACTAGGTGATTCCCCGTGCTTTGCTGTGGGAATTACTAAGCAATCCTCAATATATTTTTTCAACAATCAAACTAGGAGTAAAAAGAAAAAAAATAATGAAACATCAGAATTTCTCAGTACTTTTCATGAAACAAGCAAATGATGTGAAACATGTTGATAAGTACATGTTAAATATTATAAAAATGATAGATATATTTGTTAAAATATTATGCAAATGATGTGAGGGGTGATAATTGGATATCCTTGCATGTTCATTTGTTGAATTAAATAAATTGTATATGATGTTGTATGCTTGCATGAAGTTAAATATGTAATTATTGCTAGTGTGTGACAATGTGACATGGTTGCATGTTGAGATTTCGACTTAGTGGGTTATAACTTTGTAGAAAGTATAGATTACTACAACTGAAAACCAATAAGGTGATGGAATTAGACCATGAATAGAGAGAAAGTGAAAAAGATGGGGAGGGGAGGGGAGGGGCGGGGGGCTGCATTGGGGTGGTAAGGGGTGGGGAAGGCATCTCCAAGATTTTTAGATATTTTGCCAATTCATCGGATTTCTCAGCAACAATGACTCCATTTTAGTTCCTAGAAGCACAAATTTTGAAAAGTAATAATTCCATTTCTGGTAGGTCTAGTGTTAATTTCTTGATTGTAGGCTGAAACTATAAGACTGTAAGTATAGTCATCATTTTCTAATGGCATTCATTTGCCTCATTGTGGATAAACAGTTTCTCAATGTCATTGACAAACAGTACCCCCTGAGTAGAGGTCCAAAATAGGTGCAATAATTGTATAATTAAATCCCCATGACAAGTATGTTTTAAGTTCCTGGTTGGACCCGTTGTAATTTTTGTTCCATATCTATTTAATAAAATTTAAACTATGGGGGCACTCCCCTGGAGTGATTGGGTAAAAAAAGGTTTGTTATAATATAAATATAAATGTTACACATAATTTTTCTATATATGCACTATATGTGCTTATTTGCTTTTCATATTTAGTGGTTTAGAAGTTATGCTTAAAGCAGTAGTAGAACAAGGCGTTGGGATTTTTGAGATTATATTGATGAATTAATAGCGTTAGTCATGTAGAAGCAAGCGTTTGTTTGAAAATTGTTTTTGGATGCTTTTTATTGTTTAGGGTTGGAGAATCTTGGTGTCGTGAGTACGATGATATGTTGTTATCGAGAGTAAGTGCACTACGAAAGTTAAGGTTTTTATATAGTTTCTTCTAATTGACATATTAAATACCTGAGATATGCTAGATAGAAAGCATTGTGCACCTCTAAACAGTGATTTAACTTGTGTTCTGTGTTCTTTTGGAATTAGAAAAACCTTCATTCATCTTTTCTTCCAATGTCCTTTCAGCTCTCAATGTTGGGCTCAATTTGGAATAGTCTGGGATGTATCTCTTGCTTTTGAGTAAATGTTGCTTCAAGCAAAACAAACTTATTGGCCTTCGCACTTTGTTGATAAAATTCTCTATACGGCTTGGAACATTTGGAAGCAGAGAAATGAGCTTATATTTGATGGTGTGACTCCATCCGTTTCTTCTTGGAGGGCTTTCTTTAAGAAAGACCTTTATCTCCTTCTTTATAGCCTACCTGTAGGAGATAGGAATTTTCTTTCAGACTGGTTAAGCCTATTGTAAATGTATTATTTTGATCTTTTAATAAAATTATTTACTGTGGGGGATTCCCCTATAGTGTTTTCTTTCCAAAAAAAGAAGGCAAGTGCACAATTAACTTTTCTTTTATTGATGTATTGACTAGTTTCTCTCATTTATTTCACTTTCAATGTTATATTCGTCATTCTAGTTTCATGCAAAAGTTCCTTTATGTTCCTATTTTTATCATTTAAGATTCTTATTCTAGTTAAATGCTATTTTTAGTGCCTCGCATGCTATTCTAGTTATTGATAATGATGTTTATCGTTTGGCTTGGATTTTCATGTATTCATGTGATTTTCAAAGAAAAGAAAATGTTTTAATGTTCGTTACTTATTGTAACTATTATTTGTATGTTTTCTATAATTTCACGTGCTATGTAATTATTTATACCTATTCTTTTGTTTGGTTTTGTTTCCCTGTACCAACAAACACTTGGCTATAAGTGGCACCGTTTTACCTCCACGATTGACAGTTTTGCACTTATTTTGGTTTATCTACACTTCTACACTTTTATCTTCTTGTTTCATACTCCAAGAATAGTCAAGATGATTAGGTTTATCCCAATTATTTTGGACACAATGTGATTTCCCATCTGGGTTCTTTGGAGTTGGATGTGCGTGGATGATCTGTTATTAGTTTTCCTATAAACTGTCTACTATTTGATATCTACAAATTTAGATAATATTATGTGCATGAATGAAGCGTATGTGGATACAAGGGACGTTATAATCACATGACCAAAATGTAAGCCATGAAAACGGAACAAGTACATCATTAATTTCTAAGCTTGATAAGGATGGCATAGGGAGGTAGCTGTGTAATATGTAAACAATAACATTTATAAGGTAAATATGCCATTAAATTCAATGGACAATGGAGTAGTACCTTGTTCATTGGACATAAACCAATGTAATAGTTGTTTTCATCTTCATAGTGAATATGATCCATGAGGTTAGTCAAAGCTCTTTGTCTTAGCACGTTCATTGGCCACAAATTAAACAACGGTTCGACAAAATTATTCAAAGAAGCCATAGCAACAATTTGCAACCATGATGGGGGATAAATAATGTCATCCTATAGTGAAATTGATAGCAAGAATTGTTTTAATATAATTGTTATAAATACTTTAAAAATTGTGTAGATTCACTTCATATATGTAATCGACTGTTAGTCTGTTCACTCTGGTCATAGATACAAAAGTAATTAGTAAAGCTAGTATTTTCCAAGACATATTGATCAACCAATAAAATATATAAATGAAACTGCTAATGAACTTTGTAAAAAATGCTAATAAAAGGATAATTTGTTCACATCAATATTCTCAAAACAATATCCAATCCTCCTCAAGATATCAAAGACCATGGTAACACTAAATCACTTCTTAAAGCAGATAAAAAAATGCTCAACTAAGGCTGAGTTATTTGCCCAATTTTCCTAACTCACCTCGTTTTCCGTGCACACGCTTTTCGAACTGCTAAACGGTGTATTTTTTGCAAAAAAATTTCTATGCAAAAGTTTCTTTAAAAAATCATATTAATTCATTTTTTAAAAAAGTAAATACTTAATTAATCATAAGAAAATGCGTCGCTCGGTTTTGCATGCGCGAGAGGTGAGTTCCCAACCTCACCTCCGGAACACGGCATAAGACTAGTGAGAAGTGAGAAAAAATATCATAAAATTTACAGCATTGTCTACCATCGTTTTTTTTTCACTTTTGAGTAAAACATAGACACTATCTTAAATTCCATATGGCCAAACTACTCAGTTGTTTCCATTCATGGACCGGACAGCCAGACCATCCTATCCAGCCAAAGCTTTTCATGTTGGAAAATGTGGTGTCTATTGATTCATTAATGTTGTCGGTTCTACATATAGTATGTTTTTTTATCATCCAAGATTGCATAGGATGCAAGTTATCTAATGACATAAACTCTGCTACATTTATGTTACTAAGGTGATGTAATAACATATTCTTGTGTTTTTTGGTATGGACAAATATAATGATGGTACATTGTAAAATACACATATGAAAATGGGAGATACAAATTTCCCATGTTTTACTTGAATGCAACTGAATCATAATTATAGATTGTGCCTTTATTTGAATATGATCCACAATTATGTATATAGCTACAATTCTTATTCTTAGAAGGTTAGTGACAAACCTTGCAACAAGAACTACGCGCATTGTTCCAATTGATCTTGCTATATGGTACATTGTAGAGCTCATCTCTCATTGCCAATATAGTAGGAGTAATGGGCCCAACAAACTTTTTCGCATAAATATAAGACATTGGCATATAAACCATCCGACAAAAACACCAAAATCTTCCTACAAGACAACAAACTTCAGTTCATTTTATGCAAAGCAAGGACAATCATTCATTTATTTGGTCTTCATATGTATTTCTTTTGTATTAGACAAAAAAAAGTTCTAAGAAGTATTAGACTCACTTATATTTCTAGAAATGAAATGTCAATTGGTACTATGGATAGTGTAGGATTCTGAATAAATACCTGGATGAATGGGTAGAAAATAAGGAAGCATCCATAATTCAGGAATGATTGGATTGTTCCCAGACCAATCATATACACCTATTACCTTGGTTAAATATAAAACATTGCCTTATGTCAGTTTCACTTATGAACGAAACTTGTTCAAGATAATAGAGAGGAGCATTTTCTACAAACAATAAAGGTGTATAAGGTATCAGAAGCATTGGTCTCTTTACTTTCCACTATCCTGCTAGTTCCCATGACCCCCTATCCCACATAGTTGGCTTCTATCTAAAAATGTTTTGTTGTTAGTAACATGATTCAAGAGGTATTGCAACTTTATAAGCTATCACTAATACATAAATTGTTTTAGCAAACAACCCCCCTAATGGATTGCAGGCAGGCTGTGCAAAGGCCCGCCTGCAATAAGGGGGTGTGTAGGATGGACAACCCTCCTATGTAAATGCATTATAATAGGCCAGTCACTAAGGCGCCCATCAAAGAAAAATGCATACATAAGAGGAATGATTTTTGCATGTGGCTACCGCCGGGCACAATACTAGAGGTGTGCGAAATGCTTAGGATCAACTAGAGGTACACAACAAACCACAAAAATGTAAGAGGAACTATTACTAGTTGTCTAAATTTGGTTTCAACGCACAACTTATTAATACGGATGTGCACAATATAATTTTTCATTTATTGCACTATTTTTTGTTGTAGATTCTTTAAATTCCCAAATTAGTACATAGGGTCGAAAAGGGATCACTTACTAGTGTTTGAACCAAGTTGTGGAATTTCATCCAATGTGACAATTGTAAGAGACTTGGATGTTTTTATATCAAGTAGAGTCCATAAGGGTTGTAACCCCAGGATCATGGATGAACCCTCGCTATCCTTTTCCTCTAAGAGCATCCACTTAGCTATTATCAACAATTCATACTTCAATTTCTTTGTTTCTATGTCAACAACTTTTATATTCGAGTTGATCGTCTGTGGGAGAATTGCCTTGTTGTTTAGGGCCCATAAGTACTTGCCGCATTTCTCGATTCAATTAAAGCACCATTGCTGCTTATTTTCTGCTAAAAATTTTATGTTGCATTTACCTATGTTCCTTGTTTCTTGGATTGCAGCCAGAATCGAAACCCACATGGCGAGGTCAATCGCACATCAAGGTTGATACTGACTACAAGAATGGGCTAGTGCGATTTTGTTGACTAAAATTCATTTGGTAGGTATCTTGGCTTGCAAATTCCTTGGTTCACCAAATAACTGGTTATCCCCCTCCCCTCATTGACAGATTGAGCTATGATCACACGACTAATGACTTGATATGGTAATGCCAGCTGAGTTTGCTGCAGATTTTGACATAGTCCAGAAAAGAAGATGTGGAGGCAGTGACGAGATAACCACAATAGGCTATAGGGCCATAAGTCCATCCTTAAGTGCCTATAGACTGAGGATGTCGGCAGGTTTGGTCACCCTTGGAGAGGCGGCCAATCCATTTGCTCCCGTCATGTTCAAGATCTACCACCTAGCCATTGTGATTGTCCTCTGATGTGCAAAGCCTCTAGCGGGAGCAACAAGTATTTCGCACTCTATGCCGTCCACCACATCATCACCACCTTCTCATGGTCCCCCTATCTACCTTAATCTGGTGAGCTCAAGCCATGAGATACAAAAACCTAGCTGGTTCTAGAGACCACCTCCTCTGGTTCTAGCGATGGCTAATGTTGTTGTAATAGGCAACACGATGATGAGAACATTTTCTCATTTGTATTTTGTGTTTTTAATCGCAATTGTAAATGTATACAATGCTTGTTAAAATAGAGCACTTGGTCATGCCTATGAGATGAGGTGTCGTCTAGACCTACATGAAAAATTGTAGTTGTGTACAAACCATGAGACATTGTTATCTAGGTGATTCCCAGATGGGCAGAGCTAGGGTCTAGAGTTACGAGCTTCTACAGGGTATGTTTGGTTTAAGATTTACCTTGGTTTGGATGTCATTTCTCATAGACTTGCTGCCTTCTTGCTCTTTCATTCAATTCATAGTTGATTTCAATCCATGATGTCTCATTACAACTGATTCAATGTATGATGGGCCTTGGATCCAAAGTCACCAGTCTTTCTATAATTTATGTGTTTTGTAAGATCTTGCTATGGTTCATGTGTGTGGAACTGGTGTGGTTTGGGATGTAGTATATAAAGATTCTGGAGTTTATAGTAGTTGATTATGAGTCTTGATACATGTACCTATTCATATGTTTGTGTATGTAGGTATATATTCTAAAGAAATGATCGACAAACAAAAGCCGTAGTGTATAAGATTTTTTTATGGAATTTCAACAATCATCTGTAATTACTCACAAATAGCTTCAAATGACAATATGCTTTATTTGTGATAGTTTAAACTAAATTTGTTTCTTGTCAAAATTTTGTTTTATGTCAATGCATACCGAGAGAAATATCTTTGCCCATTGTGGTGCAGCTGTTGCAGTACCATGAGTCAAGATCCAGGCACGCCCTTTGGATAATGCATTGTCGTCTCCATCTAGCTCCTCCCCCAACAGCCTTAAGGTAGCGTAGTTAACACATGAGCCAAACATGGTGCTTGGTCCCAATGTAAGTGTACTCCAACCCCCATCCTCATTCTATAGTTCTGACACATCTTTTGTAATTAGAAATGTTTGTTATATAATATATTTTATTCAAACAAATATGAGAAAATTATGACTTGCCTGAATGTTGTAAATGTATCGACATATCTCACGTATATGCTCCGACGACAGGACATCATTGAGTGAATGAGTCACATGCAAAGCAAATATCTGAGGATAGACACAAATTGCAGTATATACTATGAAAATGATAATTTAATTAGTTCAGTCATGGCCATGATGAACACATTATGAAATCATTACTATAACTACTAGACAAATCTATATCACACGTTATCTGAAAAATGATAAATAAATCAGCACTACTACATGAATCAGTTAAAGTACTACTTAACTGATATTTGTTCTTTGCGGAAGTAACATATCAAAATGAAAAAAAAAGGCCAATTAGCTTTTATAACCGCACAAATGATATATAGTACAGTATATTAGTTGTGCAGGAAATACATACTAATGTTCTTATTTTCTAGGAAAATGAGTACAATAGAAAATTAAATATTTTTAATTATATATCAAACAGACGAGATATAGTTTAACGAAGAATAATCTGAATCACATAAAAAATATGCCTCGTAATACTTAATTTAGCGATCCATTCACCAACACTGACATTATTCCAAACCACACTACAAAGGCAAGGTATAAATAGATATTGAAACGTGCGCATAGTTGAGGTGTAATATTATTTTTCTAAAGTAAGAATAGTAATTTGTTCAAAAAATAGAATGCCATATGTCTTAGTAAATCTCGTTTTGGTGCAAATTTTGCGCCTATTTTATATTTGCCACTAAAACAAACAAAATTCATACCATGAGAGGAAGAATGAACAGAACCCCACTAAAGCCACCAGGCCAATGTCCATCGTGTGCTTGAAGAGAAGAATGTTGATCAAGAACGCGCTTCAAAGCAGTCAAGAGAACTTCTTCTGTGATTTCAGAACTATCTTTATGATTGTTAACACGAAGATTTGTGTAAAGGTTGTTTTGTTTTGCAAACTGAAAGAGAGATGCAGTGGTCAGAAGTGGGAATAGTAATAATTTAATTATTGATTCTTGAGAAAAATATTAACAAAAAATTAGTGAAGGAAGACTATTTTTCACCAGCAGTCAGGTTGCACTTTCATCGGCGGCCGCGGCATTAGCAACTAAAAGGCAAGTGAACAAATCATTTCGCTGGCAGGCAGCGCAACGGTGATTCGTAACTAGCATAACGAGGGTCTTTTCAGGATTACTGCTGGTCGCAGGCAGCGCAGCAGGGCATAGTGCGTGAGTTCTGTATCAAAGACGTGCGGTGGATTACATTGGTTCGTATATATATTTTGTCCCACTGAAATTTAATGCTCTGCATGCATGTAATCTATCACCAATTTATTCTATATGTTAGGTGAAGTATATTGTCTACGTCAATTGTTATGATGGGTGAAATCTGTTTTTTTGTGTTAGTACGATATCGAGAGGGAGGTCCATTATCGTAAAACTTTGTTATCTTTTGAAGCTTTTTTAAACTGATCGATGAACCTATATTTTTTGATGTGGAGCTTTTTGGTCACCAGAGATGGTGATGGCAACGAAGTGCTTCCCATTCGACGGTAGTAACTGTGTGGGTTTACCAGTTACCATACTGTATTGGTAGGGTTACTAATCCTATGGTTACACAATTACCACTGCTATCCTTCCATGTTAGACCTCTCATGGTTAACAATTTAATTTAACAAAAACATGTAGTGCAAACCTGAAAACTACTGTCAAATATCATATAGCAGTTTTCATATTTGCACTACATACTTTTTTAAAATCTTAGTGTTATCCATCAGGGGTCTATCCTGGAAAGATAATCGTGGTAAATGGTTAAATCTTAGAGTAAAATGGTTAGTTGTACTCATGGTGACGTGCATAATTCTCAGACGTCCATTTTTAAATTCAACGGTAGTATCCAGGTTGGCACTAAATATTTTCCCTTGAAATTTTTGAATTTGGAAATTTGGATATGAAATTCTTCTTTTAATCGTAGTATAACCGGCCGTATGATTAAAGTGATCGAGGGCCGGTAGACCCTTACCGATACGGTATGATAAACTCTGAATACAACAGCTCGTCGTCAAGCTGAATAATGTGGCGATACCTCTACAGTCCTCAAGTTTTAGACCCATCACCCAATCTTTTCTGAATTCCTCCATATTAATTGTACTTCTATTAAATTGGACATTTGCCATTTAACATATTCTTTTCGTCCTATTTAAGACTCTTCCTCAAGTGCGAATATTTTTTATCCATGTTATTAAACATGATGCATGTTAGTCACGCGATTCAGAAAGAAAGGAAGATAAAAAAAAAACAATATATACGGATGGGTTAATCGAAGGAATGCTAAGTTATATATCTGCGTGCCTGCATGCGCATGAGGAGGTCACCACACTCCCTGCGGGTGAAGCGGTTGCGGGTGAAGTCGCGGCGGAGCCTCTCCACCTCGGCGCGCTCCTCCGGCGTGCCTGCGTCGGGGTCGAACTCCCACGTCTCCCGGCCGAGGAAGCCATTGGGGGACCGAAGCAGCGGGTTGCCTGCCCCCTCACCGATCTTTAGCTTCCACATTGTGGACTGTTTATGCGTGAACAAAGGGTGAAAATGCAACTCCAACTAGTGGTTATTTAGAGAAGAGACTAGGATCGGAGGATGTGGCCGTTGGCCCTCGGCCAGGGTAGTACGATACACGCCACCAAACTCAATTGATTTATATTAATTGGGTTGTGCATGGTAGGATCCAGCCGGCTTGGCTCGGTCTGCTTATTTGCATGTTTATAACAATGACGAGCTAATAAGTATATACGCTCAGCGTTACAGCTTAAGCTGTGTCTCTCGTTAAGTTCGATGCTCGTAAACAAATCACCGCCATTAATTAATTTGCTGCATGCCCTGTCAAGATGTGCATTTAGTATCATATCCTATCTTTACTATAATAAAGTTGTAACCTAACTACTAACTCCTTAAACTTAACATATAAAAATACCACATCATCATCCACTGATTAACAAGATGCGACATCATCATCTACCAAGAATCATCATATTTAAACATCATACAAACATGTTGTATTATCTATAGTTTTACAGTTTTATAATTTAAGAGCTTTTAAAATACAACCATGTTAAATTATCATCCCACATAATTCACATGATATTTCAATGTATATTTTATTATGTTTTAAGATATCCTATATACTTATATAGTTCATCCTCACTTAGTTAATGCTTAAATGATTAATCTATGGTCCAAATTATCTTTCTATTTTTTCTCTAATCAAGTCATATCATCTTAATTGTTTTTAGCCTTTAGATGATTAATCTACGGTCCAAACTATCTCCCTATATCTCTTATTCCGTAAAGTCATACCACCTAACTTTTTACGTTTGAATCACCATTCTACATACTATTTGAATTTAAATTATCATAAACCACATTAATTTTCTTAATATGATGTTATTTAGCTATCTTACACGTTATTTCTTAATCATACTAAATTTCAGCAGCAATGCGCGGGATTTCACCTAGTGTATTAAAAAAATATTCCCTCCATCCACAAAAGTTACACATATTACTTTTGTCACTAAGACCAAGAAGAAATTAAATTATTTTGGATGTTATAAAATTAAGGAGTGAATGTAACCATGCAACCAATAAGTATTTAGATGACTCCTTGGTTTCTAACCAAACATTTAATTTATGTCTTTATTTAAGTCTTCATGCAACCAATAAGTATTTAGATGACTCCTTGGTTTCTAACCAAACATTTAATTTATCTCTTTATTTAAGTCTTGAATCCATAAAGACTATAAATAGGAACAATTTATTTGGAAAAACTCAAATGTGAAATACTCCCTTCGGTTTCATTTTAATTAACGTTTTGGACAATGACACGGTCTACAAAATATGTGTTTGACCTTATTTTTCTATTATAATATATATAATAAATAAATGCATATTTACTTTTATTATAGTGCTTTGAAAGACAATTCTATATATGTTGTTCTAATTTCTTTAAACTAAATATTTTTAAAGTTATTGATGGTCAAAGTTATAAAAATTTGATATCTAAAACGTCAATTAATATGGAACCTAAGGGAGTAGGTGTAACTTTTGTGGATGGAGAGAGTAGTAAGCATTGAAGCATTGATTAGTACTATCAACTAACTAAAAATGATATATGAAAAAAGTTGAACCAGAATATTCCATTGAACCCCGGCATCTATCTATACCTTATATATTATATTAATTGAACACATTTACGAGTTCTCATGTTAATGAGAGGGATCAGACCATTAGTGATTAGATGTGTCTGACAGTAGATTAATATTAACAGTATATATAACCAATGTTGCATTTGGGCCAGCATTTCAATCTTAATTAGGTTTCGTGCACGTATGTACCACGGGGTATATCGATTTCAGGAGGACTGCACATAGGGCATCGTGGCGAGTGGCGACTAGCTAGCACAAGACGCCTGACGCCTACGCTCATATGGAAGCGATCGATCTCTGAATTAGATGAAGCACGCCGAGTCACCGATGGCAACGATTCTGATTGTTAATTAACTTACCACCTGCTTAGATTTATAGCAAAGATCAAACCAAATTTAGAAAATAGTGATTCTTTTCGAAGAAGACCGGTCTGACCTTAAAATTAACTGCGATCAGATCGCTGGTGTTTAGGCGGTCATACATTCAGCACATAGTCTGAAACCAATTTAGACATTTCTCGTGTTCCCCAGACTAAGACAATGATTTCTCGTGTCTCGCAATTAATATATATATTCATCAAAATCAATGCATTACCCAAACTTTCTATATTCTACATCTTCCTCCTTTCTACTTATCCAAAAGTCTCTTTTTGGTGACTCTGTTGTGGAATGATTTCGGTTGCTATAGCCAAGATTCTCACACTGTTTACGGTCCTTAAATGTCAAATCTGGTCGTCAATTCCTGAATAAAACCAATTAAAATAAAATACCAAACCTAATGTTAAGATTAATTAGTAATCATTTCCACAAGCATTGGTAAATATCTGTGTATACGTAATTATAGATGAAAATACACCTACCATGTAAAGAAATACACCTCTAACCAATCAAACGCGAGTATACGGATTGGATGGTCACGTCCTAATAAATTATCCCAAATTAGAAATCATTCTCTAAAAGAAATAATAGAATGAATTAAAACTCGAAAAGAAATTGGCAAACATTAAAATACATACAAGAAAAATTCAAATATGGCCCGAAGTATTTTTGTTAAATTCTCATAGGTCTAAAAGGTGCCCTTAAATTTTAGTCAAATTTTCAGAGCATCGAAAACATTTATGAAGCAACAAAAATAGTTATCATAGTTTATTAAGAAAAAACTAAAAATTAATCCTCCTTTTCCATTGGGCCAAGTCTGGCCCAATGTCTTCCCCTCTCCCGGCCCTCCCCTCCCTTCGGCCCAGCTCCATCCTCCTCCTTTACTTCTCCGTGGGCCGCCCTGCCTTGCCCCGACCCAACCAGTGGCGGGTCTAGAAAATCGATTCGTTGGTGTCATAACGTGTCTATCGATAACATTGTATGTTAATTATACTTAGATCATGGTGTTATAACATCTGGATAAGCAGATTTGCTATAGGTTTTATCGAAAGTCGTCGGTGTCGCCTGACACCAACCCCAGTACTGTATATCCGCCCCTGGACCTAGCCCGACCGAGCCGAGCCGCTTCCCTCAAACACGGTCGTCTCCTTCCTCCCGCATGGCGCCTCTCTCTCCCTCCCATAAACCTAGCCCGTTTCCTCCTCCATATTCGCCTAAATCAATTCCCTTCTTTCCAAATTAGGCCTTGTTCGGCAAGAACCGAAACGGCCTCTAGTCTGGCCGGAGCGAAGTGGCCCGTTTCCAAATCTGGTCTGGCCCAGAAACGTCGTTCATTTCGGCCGGCGCGGATTGGAAACGGGTCCGGTTTGGCCTCTCTCCCCCTGTTCCTGGCCCGGAACAATTCCCCGCCTCTGACCCTCTGGTTCTAACCCGGACGCGAGAAAACGGCGCGGCGGCGCACCGACGGCGACGGCAACCGCTTCCCATCCGACATCCGCGCTCTCCACCGCCTTCTTGCCAGTAACACATCACCGTCGTCTTCCTTGTTCCTTTCTCTCTCCGGCGCTAGGGTTCTTTCTTGCTAGGGTTCTTGGCCACCGTCTCCTCCCCTGCTGCTGTAGCACACCACCGCTGCCTCCTTGGGAAATCAATCTCACATGATTCACAATGAGACCCATGACTAAGGTTCTTGCTTGCTAGGGTTCTTGGCTCTCCAGACCTGTATAGGAAGGCATGGCTGGATTTCAGTGGTGGAATAAAATGCTCCATGTTGATCTGGGTGATTGCGATGATGATTAAGGGCATGACTATTGTTTTTGTTGCAAGCAACAAATCCTTTTTATAGCACATCATTTGCATTCATCAGTTTCCATATTCTTCTTTTGGTGTTAGCATAAATGTATTTGTGCTTCTGTGCAGAAGCAAGGCCACAAATCAAGTTTGGTGACTAAAGAACTATTCTTCTTTTGGTGTTAGCATAAATTGCATGTTGTACCAAGTATGGTGACTAAAGAACTATTCTTGATATTCCAATTCTTCGGATGTGTATGCTTTTACTTTTGTTTCCCTGTCAAGTTTTTCACGAGCTTATCATGCGGTTTGTTAGACGAAAAATTAATGGTTTGCCTGACTTGTGCACAATTTGATTTTCTATCAAACAGTAATGCAATCTTTGATGTTTGCCTTACTTAGTGGCACTTAATTTCCACTGAAGATCATTATGGAAATTGGAATAGCAAGTCAAGTCGATGAAAATTTGCAATAGGAGCATCTTTGCTGGTTTAAGTACAGGAGTTGGTGGAGCTAGGAAAAATTGGTCCTTTACACAATATATGAGGTGAACTTGGCTTAAGTGGTAGTTAATGTTTCTCGTCACATTGTACACTTATATGCATAATAATATTCCTGAAAGGACCAATGCACTAGGAAGTAGCTTGGTGGTGCTGTTAGGTTTGGACAATTTGGAAGAACTTCTTTGTTTGGAGTTCTTCTTTTGGACACTTGTACCAAAAGCTGTCCTAGGTGGAAATCTAATATTACAATACTCGATTGGCATATTTTCTAATATTACAATAATCTAATTATGATTTTGGGTTTAAACTCGACAATTACCTTTTGAATTCTTCTATGCCAACCACAACTGATTATCTCACTGTTCAGTTGGTAATATCTTCTTTTTTATTTTAAAAAATGAAACATATTAACATAATATCGCCTCACAAAAACATGCACCTTGCCTAGGATGAATTATACATGGACTGTGTGATTATCTGCACATAGGCAACTCTATCCTTGTTTTCCTACTGTTTCAAGTTTATTTATTCTTATTGGGCTGGACATCACACAATTTAATTTATGCTGATGATACTCAGCAAATTAATGAAGTGTTTGTAGCCTCCAGGAGTCCGGGATATTTTGATGTATTATAATTTCTGAGGTGTAGCTAGTGTCTGTTTCTCTGTAAAAAGTATCATAGTTTAGAGCACACAAATTCTATTTTATTTTCATTAACTTGTTTAGAGCACCTTGGCTGCAAGTAGTGAAGTGCAGAACGATGTCTTATCAGAACTCATGCATTTGCAGATTCCTCCTGAAACATTGGTCAGGATGGTCACAGTAGGAGGGGGTCAGGATATTCCTGATTTTGATAACCCACAGCATTTAATTTGAGCTCATTTTACTGTTCTTAACTGAAGCTAATGCTGAAACTGATCATGTAAACAACCATCCTGAACATATTGCACATTTCTGCTGCTCTGAACTGAAAAGTTGGTGCTCTGATCTAAGAACATATTGCATAAGAGAAGATCCTTTGATAACCAGTTTTTGTCAGTTCCTCATGACATTGCTGTTCACCATTCAGATTTCAGAGCCCATTGATTTGCACAACTTAAGACAAAAATGTGTGTGTGACCATATCCTCCTCTTGGGAAAAAGTATTGGCACTTACCTTGCGTTTCTTGGGAGTTTATAACTTGTCTTTTCTTTAGCAGTAAGATGACTTTTTATTCACTGTTTAGGGCATGTGAAGCCATTATTTAAAATGCTAATTCTCTCAATTTGCCATCATATTTTAACCGTAGGCTGTCCTGTGGATTCTTGTGTTTTCACTTTTGGAACTTGTTTGCAAATCGGTCTGGTGGTAGGCTGTAGCAGCTTGTATTAATTATATACTGTTTCATTTAATTCAGAGTTTTTAATGTTCTCCAATTTGACCAAGAAGAGCTCAATCCATATTGGAATCTGACAAGATCCTAATGGCAACTTTTTGTGACAAGTTGACCAGCACGATCGCAATACATAAACCTTTGCGGTGATAGTAGAGTCGCCAACCACCCTAATCTAGCAAGCACTAGATCAAGTTGGGTTTTGATAAGCTAAACCGGCTAGCGGAGCCGATCTAGATAGAACTATAGATAACTACCCGTCTCGTGGACAAAAAGGAAGGTTTTCAGGACAAACCTACAAAGAGACGTTGCACTCTCGCAGCAGCGGCGGACGATTTACAGCGCAAATCGACAAAGATGGATAAACTAAGCAAAAACTAAAAGCAATATGAAAAACGATTCGATTGGTTTATTGTTTTTACAATGAACCAGCCTTGTCCCTTATATAGGTCTTGATCTTGCCCTCTACAGGCCCTCCACGTCTAACTCGGTCTAGAAACAGATGGAAACACGAAACATACATTCCCGAGCAAGGAAACTCAAGACCCGACGAAAACGGAGTCTGACTCGGACTCTACTGGTCAGACCGGCCACACACCGCCGGTCTGACCGGCCCACTGGCGACGGGCGTCCAAACTTTGGCAATTTCCCTATTTTAATCCTAGGTGCCAAATTTGGGTGTAAACACATGCCCCCTGCCTTTTTTATGAACATCGTGAATCTAAAAGCATAGAACATGTTTTTGTCTTAGGGCGATAATCCGATTACCGGCCATAGGACTTCCTAAGTATCTTGCCAAACACTCGGGAAGTATTTCTTTAAGTATTTCCTATTGATTGCTCGCTGAAAACGCTCCCCTTGAAGTGTCTCCAAAAAATATGCGTTTCCTCAAACAATTCCGCATACTCGATAATGACCTTCCCAACTAGGAGACCACTTACCGAACTCCTTGGATCGAGTACCTAAAGGCAAAATTGTCTTTCAAACCAAGTCTCCAACTTGGAACAACTTTGCTTTCACCGTTTTGTTGTACGCTTTGGCCACCCTCTTCTTCTCTTTCTCTATGTCTTCCAAGGCCTTCAAACGCTTGTCGATGACTTCATCAAGATTGTCTCCCATCAACATCTTGTAATCTTCACTTGACAAAACATCTTGCTTGATGTATCGAAGAGAGCCAAGATTTACCTCAACCGGTAAAACGGCTTCCTAACCATACACTAGCTCAAAAGGAGTGACTTTAGTGGCACCATGTTTAGATATCCTATGCACCCACAATGCTTCAGAAAGCACCTCATGCCACTTCTTTGGGTGGTCCTCAATCTTCTTTTTGACTAACTTCAACAATGTCTTATTGCTCGACTTGGCATATCCATTAGCCTATGCATAGTAAGGAGAAGAACTCAACAATTTAATGCCATAAGATTCGGCAAAACTCTTCACTTCCATAGACAGAAAGGAAGCTCCTTGATCCGTAGTCAATATTTGCGGAATACCGAATCAACGGATAATATGCTTCAAAATAAAGTCCATTACCTTCGTATGAGTCATATTCTTGAGCGGCATGGCTTCGGCCCACTTAGTGAAGTAATCCGTTACAACTAGCACGAACCTATGCCCCTTTGATGACGAACGATAAATTTGACCAATGAAATCCAAAGCCCAACTTCGAAACGGCCATGGTTTGATGATGGGATTCAACACGGTGGCAGGCGCCAATTGAACATTGCCGAACCGTTGACAAGCTTTGCATCCCCTATAATATTTGAAACAATCTTCAATCATCCTCGGCCAATAGAATCCCGCTCTCCTAAGCAACCAATTCATCTTATGGGCCGATTGATGAGTTCCACAAATTCCTTCATGTACCTCTCCATAGCCACTTTAGATTGATCATCATCTAAGCACTTTAACAGCACCCCATCTATATTTCAACGATATAAATCTTTATCAAGCAATGTATATTGTAAATCATTGCAATAAAGCATAGTTATTTGCAACAGAAAAAAATATCATTGCAATAGTATAATATATTGCTACGAATTATTTTTTGTTGTAATAATTTGATGGCAATAGCTTAATTATCTTGTAGTGATGCACACAACGACACAAACCTAACCATCCTCCATACGTATATGTATGCATACACTTTGTTTGAAAAAAATATTTTGGGCTAGAAAGGGAAAAGTTTTAATTAGCCCCCAAATTTCCTATGTGCAAAAGTTGATTTCACCTCATCTAGGTTTAAAAACGAAATTTTAAGCTCATAAAAATGGAAAAGTTATCTTCCAACTATTTTGGCAAGAAAAATTTAAGTCCTAAAATTCGGGTATGTTACAGGGGACCCATAGGGGCCGGGGGCTGGGGCAACTCTGCTGCTGAATTGGAGATCAGGCCGGGCGGGAAAATTGAGGGTTAGGTGCGGAGGTGTTATGGCCCAACCCGCTCCATTGTAATCCCTCAGCATGACGCAAAACATTCAAAAGATTTCTTTTAAATGGTAAATTTTGCTGTAGAACACTGGGACTTTTGTGTTTTAGCTCTTGACACAGTAAAAGCCGATCTTTATTAGGGCACACTGAACACCGCACCCATTAAAATATTTAGAAAAAAATGCCCCTAATCCAGTTATCATATTCTTCTTCCTTTCCGTTTCCTCTTTCATTTTTTCCTTCTCCATCCTCCTTTCCTTATGGGCGACAGCATGGGCAGTGTGCACTGGCAGGGTAGGGCGGCACCATGGCCACGCGCGGCGAGGTGGTTCGGCGCGATGACGCCAACCTGGTGCGTTGCTTGGTCTAGCTTGCGATCAAGCGATGGGTATGACCGGCGCGCGGCGGGCGCTGCCTTGCCCATGTGGTGTTCGACACAGAAGTGAAAAAAGGTGCACAAACGTCGAGATCTCGGTTTGGGACAATGAGCCCGCCGCGCACCGGCCGGACGAGCTGGTCGAACACCATCATGAGGCTAAATTAAGGCTAAAGCAGCAGCTGCTTGTACTGCCGCCATGACAGCAGGTAGGAAGCAAGGACACGGTGACCGCAGCAGGGAAGTCATCGAGCAACGCCGCCATGACTTTGAAGAAAGAATAGGAAAGAAGAGGAAGAATATCACAAGTGTGCCATGGGGACTTTTGACCTTTCACGCTGTTTCTCTCTCCCATTAAAGCATAAATGAATATTGAGTAAAGTCCATCACCGGTCCCTAAACTTGTACCGCTGTGTCATCCCGATCCCTAAACTCACAAATCGATCATTTAGGTCGTCAAACTTGTTCGACTGTGTTATCCCGATCCCGAAACTTGTAGATCACTTGTTTAGATCCACCAACTTGTTCAGTTGTGTCACCCCGGTCCCTAAACTTGCATTTGAATATCATCTGGGTCAAATGGGACGGTCTAAGGACTTTATATTTAAAAATAATTCATAACTTTTTCATGTGAACTCTAATGAAGACAAACTTTATATCAATCTTGTAGCCCTCGACGTGATCTACAACTTTGTAGCTGATTTTTTTTATTATAAGTCATTTTTTGTCCCAAAATGTAATTTTAAAATTAAAATTTCAAAATCTATAAATATGCAACAATATTTTGGGACCCTAAACAGTTTTAATTCAAAAACTTTTTCAACTACAAAGTTGTAGGTCACGTCGAGAGTTAAAATTTTGATATAAGGTTTGTCTTCATTAGAGTTCACATGAAAAAGTTATGAATTATTTTGATATAAAGTTTTTAGACCGTCCTGTTTAGGGACCGGGGTGACACAACTGAACAAGTTGGAGGATCAAAATGAGTGATCTGTAAGTTTAGGGACCGGGATGACACAGTCGAACAAGTTTAAGGATCTGAACAGTCGATTTGCGAGTTTAGGGACCAGGATGACACATCGGTACAAGTTTAGGGATCGGTGATGAACTTTATTCATTTTAATGGGTGAGGTATCCAGCGGCAAATTAACACATTTTTGTAGTGTGTTTCCGTAAAAATTGACTCTTGCTGTGTCCAAAAGCTAAAACCATGAAGTCGCAGTGTTATACAACAAGAAATTACTTGTCATAATTTTCAGCATTTTAAAATCTATTGTAAATATTTTTTTTCTTCTTCACAATGCAATGACATGCAGTTCTCCTGCTTACTCCAAAAAATAAAAATTGAATATTCAACTTGGATAGTCGATAGCAAGATCTTTTGAGCTATGGTGGATACGTTTATTACAATACATGTCTGATTATTTTTAGATGAAGTACAATATATGTAGGTAATGAGGGATTCCTTTAAGCCCTTTTTGCTAGAAGTCGGCGGTGAAACTCTCCTAGGGCCCAGATTGGGAACAAGTTCCTGTAGTTTGTGTAATTGAAGAAGAGGGAGGAATTGAAGCTCCCAAGAATTTCCTGCAATTCAAATGAAAATGCAACCATGATACTTGTTGAGTTCAGAAAGAGGTCAATACTGGCGAACAACAAGATGCGTTGAATTGCATGGAAGTGGTTGCCAAACTCCAGTAATACGGTAACATGTACAGATCATATGCCGAGATATCTGCCCCAAATTAATTTGCTTCATTTTGGAATGCTCTGCTTTCTTCATGTATACAACTTGTGACTATGGTATAGAACAGAGGACACTGCTGTTCCTTTTTCTAGTTCTATTAATTCAACTCTCGGCGATTTGAAAGCTATCAAATAATTTAATTTCTAATAAGGACAGCTAGGGAATTCATCACTTACTTGTTGTGGAAATTCTCCTGTCTCCAGCTGCATGTTGATTAATTCTTTGGCCGCACGGTATAATGGTGCTGGATCTAATTCAACCTTCTCATGGTGTCCAACATATTTTGACAAAAAAGATGATGATAAACATGAAAGTAGTTCCAAAAGTTAAATCACATATAACCATTGAAGTTCAATCGGGCAGCCAAAATGAAGCTCACCTGTCCAGCATATATTAAGCCCAACATTCCCCACGCAGTGTGAACTACATGAGGCCTCCCACTGTCAATATACTCCTGTTTAATTATAGTAAAATAAATGATAAGTTACAAGGCTTTATGAAATGGTATTTCGAATTTGCCCCCAAAATTATCATATTAGACATTCCTCACCTCAAACTCATTAAATCAGAAAAATTACCTCCCTCCCTACACTGCTGTACCCATTATAAGGTGATACTTGAACTATGTGGCATATGTGTGGCAGCGGTTTGTCAGCGTGTCAATCTAGTCCGCAAAATAAGAAAATAAATTTACAAAAGATGTGGTATGGCTGCCCGCACATGCAACTCTCTATTATTGGTCTTAATAACCACATCTATTCGTCTCTTTTTCCCAAACTGTAAAGTACAATGGATCAATGTCCGTGTGGCAACTGTAATATTTCATGTATAGAGTTACAACGGTAACTTATACAGAGAAACCATAGCCATGCTGCATTCCGTCCTCCTGATGATTCTCGTTTGATCCATGTGTTCCAAGTGAAAGTAAAAGACGAACAAGACTACACAATCAGTAAAAGACAAACACCATATTTTTTTGCTGGCGGATTTTTGCGTATTCCACGTGCGAAATTGTAACAAGGGGTGAGGTGCTAAGAACCGCCAACAAAAATCAATTTTCGTTGGCGGTTGGTTTACGTAGACTGTAAGAGAAAATATAGCTATTTTCGCTGGTGGATCGCTTAAAGAACCACCAGTGAAAAATTGATTCTCGCTGGCAGAAGCTAGCGAGCACTGACTGGAAAAAAAATCTCTATATTAATATCTCCACCCATCTTATCCCTTCCCATTTCCTTATCGATCCCCTACCTCTCCCATTCCCTCTCCAACTCCTCCTCCAGCCTCTCCACCTCCTCCTCCTCCTCCTCCTCCTCTCCGCATTGACAACCACGATGTTCCGGTGACGACGATGATAACAACCTCAAGCTGCAGATCCTCGGTAGGTAGGGTCGTGGGTGCGGGCATGGGCACAACAGATCTAGCCGTCACAGGGCCGCGGGTGGCGGATTCAGTCACCGGAGGGCCGCGGTGACCCTACCCTCCCTCTCTCGGTTTTGGCGGCACGTAATCTTGCCTTCTCCTCCCCTCCAAGTGACGGTGGCTCCCTCCAGCCTCGGGGCGGCGATGGCGATGGCGACGGGGGCGGATCCGGTGGCGCGATGTTTGGAGACCGGCGACGCCCTCCCTCCCCTCCCCTCCCTCTCCTCCCACTCCCCAATCAGGCCGTAGGGAGACAGCGGTGGCAGTAGCCGATGGGGTGGCTTCGGTGGACGCGACAACAACCTCCAATGTCGCCGGCGATGATGACGACCAGTGTGTATGTGTTGATGTTTGCATGTTGAAAATGTTGTGAGAAATCGATGTAGGTGTTTGGACTTTTCGATGCCGGGAGAAATTGATGTTTGCATGCTGATGTTTGGATGTTGATGTGAATCTGGAATGGATTTAAATCTGATCTCTTGATGTGGATTTAAAAATTGAAAATGCAACAATGTTTCTGAATGTGGATTATTTTTTTGCTGGCAGTTATAAGGTAACTGCATGTGGTTATTTTCATTTTTTTTGCCTCAAAATCGATTATCGCTGGTGGCCAGCTTAACACAGCCACCAGCTAAATTCGATTATCGATGGCGGTCCTCATATGGCTGCCGCCAGTGAAGATAATTTTCGCTGGCGGCCGCCAGAGAAAACATCTCTTCTCTGGCGGCTAGTCACCGGCAGTGAAGATGCTTCATCTTTATTGGCCTTTACTCTCTAGCGGCACCTACGGCAGCCAGTAAAAATGTGTTTTGACTGCCAAAAAAACAACTTTTGTAGTTGTGGAAGACAGCATGCCTGTCATTATTTTGACCGCCACAAAAAACCACTTTTGTAGTAGTGGAAGACAGCATGCCCAGCAATGACAGGTGAGGAAGGGGAGATTCCACGTAGGGCTAGAAAATAATTAATTTTCAAGTAGTTTATTCTCACGAAAAGTTAAACTAAGGAGGATCTTATTTGAAAAATCGAAGGCCATTTAATTACGGTAACTTGTAGTGCCTGAACTGATTGCCCAACAAACATAGGCTCTATAAGACATGTGATAGCAAATTTCTGATGTCAAAACCACATGCGATAAAATATTTACCTCAACTTGACAACCGAGGTAATCCTCTCCCCATCCACCAGTACTTAGCTGCTTTGACAGCAAGAAGTTGCATGCCTTCCTAATAGACAAACTGTTTTGGAATGTTCTTCCTGCCGCAACCAGTCCTTTTATAGCAAAGAAGGTAGCATAAGTAAAACAGACAGCCCAAGATCCATACCTGTGATTTTAGTTTGTAATATTAGCTTAAAGATATATAAAGTTTACATAACATGCGAAATTGTACTAAAGTAGGAATACACCATGCATACCACGATCCATCATTTTTTTGTTTTTTCTCGATGAACAACACACCATTTTTGATAATTCTATCTATCTCTTCACGGCGGTATCCAGGATGAACGCCTTTAAACAGTATCAAGGCTTGAATTAGTGATGATGTGCATTCCACGTACCTGCATATTTGTTGCAGGCCTTGAGTTATTTAATTGATTTCCTTTTGTAAATCATAAGCCGAACATATATAATTCTGATAGTCAAGGATGAACACATGTCTCGCTTACGGGTAATCCACAATTATGTTCCGGAAACTCTCGGAAGGGTTGATGAACTATATATATGCCAACAATAATAGCTCAAAGTTAGTATCACGCGAAGTAGAAGTTATTTTGACAAGATAACCAATGAAGAAGAGATGTAATTTGCCCATGATGGGTATTTACCAGGATTCAGATATTCAACGAAAGCTATGCATTCTCTTAACTGGCCTCCAGTCAAATAAGGGAATGCCATATTTATTTAAGGTCTCAATTTGTCGGATACTGAATAAGTGAGTATATTTGAGTGTTAATTAGATTCTTTTTTTAATGACATTTGTAGCATAGTGGTGTGCATGAAACTCGGAAACAAAATATACTCTTATCATGATGAAATTCTCATAAATTTGTTAGCATGTTCAGAACATATGACTTATCGTATTAGTTTGTCTGGTGGATATTCACATATTAATCTAAAAAACACAAAGCCCAAAGAATTTTATTATTTTCGAAGATTCTTAAATTTTACTTGTGAACCTTTTTAGCTGGTGGCATGATGACCTGGCAAGTTATTATTGTCACTCTGGGAACATCGGAGCTAACATGATCAGTTGTAAAGCACCACCACATCGTCTCCATCTCCAGAGGTACGGTGAAGGTGATTCCTCCTTCGGATCCGCTGACGAAGGCAGGATTGTACGCAGCAGGATTCGGTGTTGGTGGAATGGGATTAACCCAATCCTACACCTTGTTTTGATCTCCCAAGGGAAATTCTCCCCCAAATTGGCAAACAAAGCCTGACCATTAGGCGAGCATTGCATCGCTGGTTGGTAGCCGCTGTGACCAAACTACCTGGCCAGATATATTATTTCACTCTTTCGCAATTGTTACTATCGGTAATCCTCAGTTTGGCTGATTGACTTCCACTATTCCTATTTAATTGGAACCAATTATTTAACATGCATTAAGTCAGATCATCTAGAAAAGAAAGGTCGTCGGATCACTTGCATTCTTAGAGCAAGTTTAATAGTATAGTCATGTACTAGCTTCAATTCACCTACAGCCAATCTAACAGCTCATTCATACAATAGTTACATACTACACTATTAATATCTAGTCCCACCTGTCATACACACACAATGCGTCTTGGAGTCCGTGCTACAGCTGGCTACAAATCTATAGCCTGCTGCTCTTCTTTCTCCTTATTTATCTTCTTAAAATATGTTTGTAGCTGGTTTATAGCCTGCTATTGTACCTGCTCTTAATCTCAACCATTATTGGCTCACTCCTATACTGTACAACCATAAATGTATTGTGTAGGATATATAATTGTTCCGTATTAATTATAGCATAACATGCACTGAGCATTTTATTGTCTTACCTTTCATTCAATTTGGTTTTTAAGTGCTTTTATGTCTAGAAAGACACCAAAAGATTCTAATTTTCTTCGTAAGTGACTTTGTTATGTAGGACTTTACTATTTTTTCAATCCTACTTGTCATGAATCTTGACTTTATGTGTGTGCTTGGAGAATTTTAGATTTATACACTTAGAGCTCTATGTGAGCACACCCACAGTGATTGTCCAGGGTCAACCACAGTCAAAGCATAAGTTTTCTTCTACATTTAGGTAACTGTGATACAAAAGATTTGCAAGAAGATGACACGCAATTATTTAAATGCAAAACAATGCTTCCTCAATAATACACTCACCTCCACCCATGGAGTTGTTCTCTTAGATTCTGCAGAGGACAAAGTGCCATCCTTGTTCTTTGAAAGAATGTACAAAATAGCTGTGTCAGCTAACTTTTCAAGTTTAAAATAAGTATCATACAACTTATTTAATCATGTATTTGAAGGTGGATTGAGTTTCACAATTGGAATAATCAAATTGTGCACTTCACTATTGTAATCTTGTTGTGCTTAATAAGTGAATTTAAATATTACAAAATACTACAAATAATAGTAATGATATGCTGGAATTCTTATTCTCATACCACATATGAAAGTAGGCAGTCAATAGCATCATACAACCTTTGTTCTTGAATTGGATCTCCTACTTGGGTTGGTGGAATCTTTGATAACAACAACACCGCCTAAAGATATAAATAAATCCCAAAAATACAGATCAGTATTGTATATCTTTGTTCAGAAATTTACATTGTCATGTAACATCCTAAAAATTTCAGAATTTTTTTAATGAAAACATTTTAAAGCTATTGTTGTTCATTATTACGAGTTTGGTGTCTTTTCCACTCCTCCCTTCATATTTCTCTGACCCATTCATATTCTTGACCATTCGCTCGAATTATGTCAAGCCCACTGAGACACTCCCAAAATATCGAATGATCACTATTCATATTGGGCCAATCTAATTCTGCCCTATGGCAGGTTTTCACCAAAATTCCCTCTCTTTCTCCTCTGGTCATCCTTTACTTCCTCTGCTGTGGCATTGCCAACAGATGCTCACCTAAGCTGCATCATCATGCTGGTGCTAGCCCTCATCCATTGATTAATGAACACCATAACAGAATAGCTGTGCCGCGTCACTACAAGGCATGACGGGATGACTTTGACTTGGACAGGAATGAGACTAGATTAATTCTCTTCCATTGATTAATGAATAGAGATACAACCTCATCCTTATAAATATGGCCGTCTTCACCCTTAAGAGAAACACAGGAACTGATCTCTAACATTCAGAAATAACTCAAAAACCAACCTAATCTAAACCCGCACTAATCATACAGTAACGAGCATGTTGTGGTCATTTGCTCCTCATCCAATACCCCTGATACTATACCCACCCCACAGAACACATGTAGTAGGCCATTTGTGTTATTCACCAATGGTCCCTCAAGCTAGTTCATGAACTACATTGTGCCATTTGTACCACCTTCTGCACGCACGTCACACACTACCTTTGGACACGCCAGGCACACATGGTTTAGCATGCCACCTCAACAGGTGTCCATGGTAGTGTGCACTTGTGGAACGCAGTTGGCTGCTGGCATATGGGGGAGAGGCCAATGCATGTGGCCGTGAACGAGCGAATAGCATGGCAAGTTAATCAAGGTGGTAACTATTAGCTACTATTCCAAACTAGCCTGTAGCCATGGTAGTCAAGGTGGCAAGGTTTGGACTGTCATGTCTGTAAGTGAACATAGTTTCAAAAAAAATTCTTTAGAAGATAATGAAAAACAATATAACTGGCATGAGCCAAAGGGCCTATTCAGCAGCCATGGCTGTGACTTTGGCTGCTCCCGCATGCTGTTTTCTACTGTATGCGGTACTAGTCCAATTTGCTAGAGCGCAGCCGCAGCCTCGGGCAGCCGAACAGGCCCAAAGAAAGTAAGAAACTTGAAAACCTTAAGGCATTCGGCAAGAGTATCCGCAATAGGCCATCCATTTTCTCCATTTGATAATGTCCATGAACCTTTTGACCTTTCACGGTAATATCTTTTGTAATTAGGACAATTCTTGGTTACCTTTAACAAAAATAATGATAATGTCAAACTTTAGCAATTACAATCACATGTATATGTCTAAAGTATCACATTCAACAAACCTGCGCATTCTTTATAAAATCATGAGCTTTCTTGATAGTTTCACTAAATTCTTGGGTAAGGCCGGTTGAGCAGTAGGCCTGAACTATAAGGGCAGTATCCCAGCACCGGCTACCAACGTACACCTAGTTATTCGAATAGAACAACATAAATAATTCACATATATAGAATACAAAGACAACCACATATCAGAAGGAACAACATATATTTCTATTAAAACATTATTTCATGAGAATACTTTTTATGAAGCCACACATTACTGAATAAAATTTTGGTGACTCAGTTTTTCTGATGTCCATAAAAAAAAGTATCATAAAATAAACTCATATAGCCTCACATCATAAAATTTATTTTCTTCCATTTTTACTTTTTTGGCCTATTACAGCCGGTGGCGGTGCCACCTCCCGGGCAGGTCAGGCGACCGCTTGGGCTCCGCCACTGCCGTACGTCTCCACTACCGATAGCTGTCAACACCTATAAAAATTAGTTGATCATCGAAAAACACTATTAGTCGCCCGGTCTTAATGTCGCCGCTGGCTCCACCACTGATAACAACGATGCGGGCGGTCGTTTAAACAGAACCGTCATAAAAAAAAGAGTTGTCCCATGCGACTGTATTGTGAAACTACCAGTGAAAAACACACTTTTGCTTCGGCTTTTTAAGATATTTCTATATGTAAACACATTAATTAACACGGGCGGTTTTTATCAGCCTGTACAATTACTTAGTTTTGCCGACTCTAGACTAATGGCGGTTCTGAAAACACTCATATAAACAAGTGACCAACCATCTGGAAACATGTTTTATGTACCAGTTTGTATTAATAAAGCTATTATTTAGGAGCTGTTAATATAGGAGTATAACTGGACTGATGCACATGTGCGTCGCGAACCATCTGGCGATCGATATCTTACGGCTAAGATCCAAGCGTGGTGATTTTACAAATAACAAGCGTGCGGATTAAAACGTTTGTGTAATTTGTGTTGATTTGATCCGGCGAGGTGTGGCTTTTGATTTGTTCATTTTTTGTGGTTTACTTATGATGCATGCAAATAGTTTGTGTAATTTGTGTTGTGGATTGGATGGTGAAACACCTATGAATAATGATTTGTCCTTGCTATGGATGGATGATGATTTGTTCTTTCTGTGGATGGATGATGATTTATTCTTGCTGCGAATGGATATTTGTAATGGATGGATGATGATATGGATGTGGGAGGATGGACCGACTCGATGCATCGGCTTGATTTGAGGCGATGCATCGAACCGTTTTTTTTTTTGGATTCGTGGCACCTATTTCTCTTCACATTAATGCTGGCCTTTATGGTGCCGGTTGGGAAAACCGGCACCTATTTCTCTTCACATTAATGCTGGCCTTTATGGTGCCGGTTGGGAAAACCGGCACCTAAGGGGGGTTTCCTAACCGGCACCAATTAGGGTTTCTGTTGTACTGAATAAAAATACCACATGATACCACATGTAACGGTTTGTTGTAAGCCGGCACATATGAGCAGAACATGCTTATAACAATACGTTCCCTAAGTTGTATATGGTCAATTTTCAGAGTATAAAACAAGTATAAGTTTAACCTTTGACTTCATTCCATCTTCTGCAAGCCATAGGAAATCATGAATCCTTGGAACGTGTCGTCTGAATGCATTGGAGTTCGGATTTTCTATCCAGCAGCAAATCATATTTAATACCTAGCCACAAGACAACACAGGAGTGTGAAATGATTTTCAATTCAAGTTATTTAAACTTTAAGGCAAAGATATATACTTCAAAAGCAATTAGATGTGATGACTCAACGGAAAATCTAATAAAAGCTATCAAGAAGACACAACATGTCAGCACCCAAGCATGCATCAATATTGCTGGCTTATGTGTGTGTCGAACTGTCTATACACCATTAGCTCTTATCGTGTTACTTTTCGCTCGAACATACTAGCTGTGTGGTAAAAGAAAACTGGTGGTGTGTAATATGTTGTGGAAGTTTTGCATGATGAGCATATCCGACAAAGGGGCTGTAGTGGGATTAGTAATAGCTAGTAGATAGACGGATTAGATAAGTTGGTGTCATCATATGACACACAGAATTCAACAATTGGACCGTCGGGTTAACATTTTTATGCAAAAAACCAATGAATGTTTTGGTCGGTGCTATCCATAAGTGGGTCTGTCCAACTGCTTTGCGCCTTTAAATACCAAAGTGCTAGCGCTATTCTTATTATTCCCCCTAGCACTTTCCTGCTGTGAGCCACGGCCTCTACATTCTCCCCTAATGTGCCTGATGCGCCAGCTAGAATGGAACAAGGCTTTGTTATTCCTCTTCCTTTCCGAACTCATATCTCTCATTTTTTGCGCGCATGCTTTTCAAACTACTAAATGGTACGTTTTTTGCAAAAAAAATTCTATAGAAAAGTTATCTTAAAAATTAGATTAATCTATTTTTCAAGTATTTTAGGCTAATACTTAATTAATCATGTTAAGGAGGCCCATCTTCTTTGTATCTAAGGTACCTGTATACAATCTGGTTACCCATCTTCTTCTTATGTATAGATGTTAAACTGTTGATAGATGAGAAGAGAGATTGTTTCATTAGATTTATTTGACAACTCCAGGATTTACTATGTTTTGAAGATCTCCACGACCAAATAATACAATAAGTTGTGCATGGGTTATTAATTGCAAGAGTTAATAATTCCCAAATAATCAGCCCCTTTAGCACATTATATGGCAAAATATTCCTAAAAATAAGAACAAGTAGACAAAATTATTAAGCTAAATGTGGAAATGTAACTTTAGCTTCAATGGGCAACGACACATTACCTTGTTAATTGGGCATAAACCCACATAATTGCTGTTTTCATCTTCATAGTGAATATGATCCATGAGGTTGGTCAAAGCTCTTTTTCTTAGCTTGTTCATTGGCCACATATTAAATAGTGGTTCCATAAATTTATGTAAAGAAGCCATAGCAATGTTTTGGAACCACGAAGGAGGATAAATAATGTCGTCCTATAGTGAAATTGAGTGAAAAATATCTTATATAATGATTGCAGTAAACTTTTGTGCAAAGCAGCAGTATAATCAAGTTATTGATAATCATGCTAATATCATCGACAACTGACAATTAATCTTTTCTCCTACCTATAGACATAAAAATAATAAATAAACATCTACTTTCAAGGACATATTAATCCTCTGGTATAATATACTGATGAAACTTTTAATAAAAAAATCAGAAACAAGCGTTAGAGCTACTACTTAAACTCTGAAAATTGTGTTGTTGTTTAAGTAAAAGACATACTTAAAATGGAAACCCTTTAATTTTTCCAGACAAACTCCGACCATTCTCAAGTGGAAACAACAAAGGTAAGATATTTCCTGGCACTAATATTAATTTTTTTTATGGTGGATCAGAAAGAAATCAAAGCGTTTGGGCTATATATCCATTGTCACATTTTCACGATTCATAGTACAATATCACCCACTATCATAAATTCCATCATCATTGTTGGTCTACTCTCTTGGAAAAACAAACTAGAGTTTTTAGGGGCGTTAGGCTAATAGACAAGCCCACAACCAGCCCAATATATCACATTGGGATGGATTGTATCTCTATTTGGTTAAGCAGTGAATCATAATTAGTCTAATTAAGGTCTCCTATTCAACCTATATTCTCATCTCTTCCCAACTAAGCCAATGCCATCTGGCTAACCACCCGAATTTATCCCATAGGGCCTACCCATTAATAATCATCCTCAATTTCTAGCATTTGTAATTGGTTTCATAGATACGGTTATTGCACAATAGTAGTGGCTCCCATATTTTTTATTAGTAAATGACTTGTGTTTCATGATATGTTTTGTCCTTCTTGTGTTATATTTGACCATCTAGAAATGCATGAAGATCAAGGTAGTTCGTCAGCAACATAGACATAACTCTAACTTATGGGTCAGTTTGCCATTTGTATCCATATTCAATAAATGTGTCCTTTTCCTAGTAAAAAACACGTTTATAGTTTTAAGTTTGTCGGTGTATAAAATATAGAATACTTGCACGGCGTTGGGAAACACTATTTAATTGTATAGAATTCTTTTACTTATGTAGGAAGGATACCCCCATTTAGGAAAAAAACAATCCAATCATAATAAGGAAATCAAGACTCGTGAAATCACTTGGAGTGCAAGAGACCTACTCAGACAAGCCCAGGAGGGAGCAGGACAATCGATCAATCAACACAAGACAAGCCACAACCTAATTGGGGCCTGCTAAGATCAAGTCCATGGTCTACCATGAACCTAAGATGTCCAGCATCCAACCATCCAACCATGATCTTGACAGTCTACCCACAAGACTAGGAAATAGGCCTTGGATAGACAAAATAATATCTCTGTTGTAGTCATACTTTCCATATATATAAATAAACAAACTGTACACCCAGTTGATCCGATGTAGTGTTATTACATTGAGGATGGCCAGAGAATGTATAAAAATCCTTCTTAGTCTGATCGGTATGCCGATCAGAGAGACGGCGCACAAACAGGACACAAGCATATAAGTTTCTTAATGTCACAGTTTATTTTCATGTCACGGTTATAAATAGAAGCTACATTCAAAACTACACACAGATATGTTACAAAGTTCCCACTATATTATAATGGCATTCAAACGTAGTTTTAGATTTTGCAATTATTTGAATATAGTTACATACAGTGCCATAGTTGTAATGCTTAAAAAGATTGTAACAAACCTTGCAACAAGAAATGCGAGCATTGTTCCAATTGATCTTGTTGTATGGTACATCATAGAGCTCTTCTCTTAGTGCCAGTATAGTTGGAGTTATTGGCCCAATAAATCTTTTTGCATATATATAAGACATTGGCATATAAACCATCCGGCAAAAGCACCAAAATCTTCCTGGAAACGAGAAACTTTACTTCAATTTGCTGGTATACATATTCAATGTGTGAAAAACTATACACGGGAGTGAACAGATGCACCATATGTATGTATATTTAGTGTGGGCATTGGTAGGCGGTATATATAGAGCTCAAGGTGTCCAGTGTGGAGACAAGAAAGAGGACCAAATAGAAAAGTCACCAACACAAATCACTGCTAGTTCCGTACAATCTAACATCCCCCATAATTGGAGCATGAGCAATACTGATGCTTAAATTGTAGTCGATATCAATGACAGATCGAGGTTGATAGTCATTTGGCCTAGTCGAGGTAGTTGAAGGCAAACAGGATCTGGATATGTGGAAATACACTGATATTGATTAATCCTAGCATTTTGTCCCATGAACTGCCAAATACTCTAAATAATGTATCCATCATTTACATGGACATATTCATTTGCGATTGCAAAAAATAGTGTTAAGAAATATCATATATATATATATATATATATATATATATATATATATATATATATATATATATATATATATATATATATATATATATATATATATTCCAACGATCAAATGCCAAGTTATACTGTGGATATACCTGGATGAATGGGAAGAAAATGTGGAAGCAACCATAGTTCTGGAATAATTGGATTGTTCCCTGACCAATCGTAAACACCAATTACCTTAGGTAAACATAAGAGATTTCATTGCATTAGAACAAAACGACAGGATATAACAAACGTAGGTCAAGCTTAATATATAGCACTGTCATATATTATATATTTTAGGAAAGTGAGCAATAAACAAGCAAACTTATAAGAACTTATGGTAAACAAGAAAAATCCTATGTACTTATAGTTAAGTTTAAAGTTTCTATCTACTTTGTGTTTGAGAGGTTATAAACTATGTTTCATTGTCATCATTCTGTTTCACTTGAATGCATACCGAGAGATATATCTTTGCCCATTGTGGTGCTACAGTTGCACTGCCATGAGACAGAATCCAGGCACGCCCTTTTGATAATCCATCATTGTGTTCATCCAGTACCTCCCCTAAGAGCCTTAAGGTAGCATAGTTAACACATGAGCCAAACATGGAGCTTGGGCCTAAAGTATGTGTACTCCAACCCCCATCTTCATTCTATAGCAATTTTTTCATTGTTAGAAATATTTGTTATATTAAATGTTTTGTTTAAATAAATCATGAGAAAAAATAGACATGCCTGAATGTTGTAGATGTAGCGGCATATCTCACGTATATGCTCAGATGATAAGACATCGTTTAGTGACTTAGTCACATGTAAGGCAAATATCTGTGGAGATATTAAAAACATGTAATATATACTGCGGAAATGGTCATTTGATCAGTAACACCAAAATTCATCATTATTATGATGTAATACTTAATTATTTTCAGTATTATTGTTATTTGCCCTTTGGGAAATGAAATTTCAAAACACGTTGAACCATAATAAATCCAGATTGTGCACAAGGGAAAGCTCACAAATAATTAAGGGCTGATTATTTTGAATCATATATAGTACATTATTTGCCTAAGAAACTGATGTTAGTCTTTGACTAACACTAAATCGCTTCATAATTACCCTTGATGAAGAGACTAACACTTTGATGGTCTATTCAGCCACAATCATGGTAGTATTTCTCTGTTTTGCTGTATATACAAGTACTTTGTGTAAATGGTGAATTGCTTTGCTGCGGGATGAATTTAGCACTACATGATGTTTCATATTGTCCAAAGAAGTCCATGCCATGCCATGTTATCCATGTCTTGAATCACAGAAATGGAAAAGCATAGGAATAGAAAAAACATAGGTTTGATCGGAATGTAAGTGTAAAAAAAATTGCAAAACATAGAAAAAACGTAAAACTAACCGTTTTGTTGGACAACAGGAGAAACACAAGAATTTGATGAGAGAGACAGAATCAAAGGAAAATTCTCAAGAGGTTAGATAGCTTGCTAACTTTCCTCCAAAATGACCGTAGGACTAATTTTAAGGATATGATATAATTCAATTCTATGTTACAAAGACATTCGTAGAAATTTTTTTTCTATAGGATTGAATCATCCAAACGGCCTAATTTCTCATACACAAATCAATGGGGCCCTAAGAGTAAATTACCCATTATACCCTCACCCATACTATACAAAATTCGAATAGAAGGATTATATATTGTGTATGCTTACTACAATATGGTTTGTTCATATTTTTACCTTTTTTTCTTTTTAAGGCTATTATATATAAGGGAAAAATTAATATTTCAAATATAACCACACGTGTTTGGATGGCATGGCATGGCAACGTGGTGTTTTTATGAGTCTTGGGACATATATAGCCTCAAACTAAGAGGGCTTCTTTTGTCAATATAAAATGTCTAAATTAAATTGACCCCATGATAAGAATTTAAGGATTGTATTGACTATTCACCCTCGTGTAAAGCAAATCATACTAGTCCATGACATTTCATATTGTCTAAACAAGTCATCGAAGTTTACCATGCGATTTAATAGTCCCTGTACATAAGATCATGATATTTAGCCATGTCACGTCATCCACACACATGCACACTTAAAACTAAACAACCCATTGAAAAAAAAAGGAAAGAAAGAAGAAATGAAATACAAACAGAGCGAATATCATATTGTGTCTGCTTACTACGGTCTGTTTTGTTTGTTTGTTTTCACCATTTATATTTTATTTTTAACCGTATTTATCAGGGTAGAATAAATATTTCCATTTTAACCATGCCTGCGAGGATGACATGGCATGACGATGTGGCGTTTTTTTTATGGATATAGGGATTATATTTAGTCACGTTACAAACTTTGAGCATTTATATGAACAATATAAAAGTCATTGACAAAATTGACCCCGCCAGGAAAGTTTGAGTACAATATTGGCTATTTACCCTCTTGTAAAATAAATTTGTAGCGTGTAGCTCATCTCCTTTATGGTGCAAATTTTAAATAACCTAATTCCATTTAAATAAAAAAAATCATACCATGAGCGGCAGAATGAACAAAATCCCGCTGTAACCACCAGGCCAATACCCATCTGGTGCTTGCAAAGAGGAATATTGATCAAGAACACGTCTTAAAGACGTTAATAGAACTTCTTCTGTGACTTCTGAACTGTCTTTAAGATTGCTTACTTCATGTTTACTGTAAACTTGGTTCTCTTTTGCAAACTGCAAGAATGATATATTGGTAAGACTAGATTGGAAACACTTTTGTAGGAGTTTAAAGAGTTATAAACAGTACATTTCATCGATCAATGGGACAGTAAGCAAAAAGTGAACAATAGTAAGACCCTGTTTAGGTCCCACCCCAAAATTTTTCACACTATCATATCGAACGTTTGAACACCTGCATGATTTAGACAAACCAGCTACCACTCCATCTATGAGAGATACCATCCACTTATACTTCAAATACAATTTTCTCTTAAACTACTCATCCGATCTACGATCCGATTACACCGTTGTATTCGTAATAATTAAATCTTTATAACAAGATCTCACATGATTATATTTTGATGAAAAAAATATAAATTACTTTAATAATATATCTAAATTACTTTTAGATTTCACTAAATTACTTCTTAGACATATAAAAGTAAATTCAATAAAGTCTAAAAGTAATTTACATATATTAATTATAGAAGTAACTTATAACAAAAAGAAAGCAACTTTAATGAATGCCTTTTTTCATTGGACGCAACTACACAGCTAGTGGTAGCTAGTTTGTACTCCATCTAATATTTCCTTTTAACTTGAAAAATGTAATAGTATGTATCTTTTAAATCACATGTTGTTTTTAAGATCTATTTGCATCACTGTACCCCCACTCAAAATATATGACAAAACGAGATTCATATTGAATATATTCAAACATTTTATTAATTTAAAAGTAATTTATTACATGCATGTTAGAAAGTAACTTCCATGTTATTAGGAAGTAACTGTTACATCTTATACATGGTTGATTCTTATTAGTTATTCCATCAATGTTATTTACATTCCATTAAAGGTTTTATCTTCTTTTCTCATTCTAGATGAAAAAAATGAAAGGAAAAAACTATTGATGATTAAACAGATTTATAGAGTTATTTTGAACCATGCAAAAGTTACTTCCAATTAATATTGAAGTTACTTTTAAAAATTGTTAAACTTACGTGTGTTGATCTGTGCTGATTAAATTTAATTTCTAGATAGATTCATATTTTTATCCCTACAAAAAATTTACTTCTAATGTCGTACACTTCTAATGTCGTGACAAAGTTACTTTCGTTTTGCTTTAAGTTACTTTTATAATATATGCAAATTACTTTTAGGCTTTATTGAATTTACTTTTATATGTCTATTGACGCTCCTTAAATCATAATATTTGACCGTCAATACCTGCATATAATGAAATAAAATATGGTATCCAACGTGGTGGTAGGGTTTATTACTAATCATTTCTACTAGTGTTGGTGAAATATGTGTATGTAGGTGATTTGAGGAGAAAACATATCCCTCATGCGACAAAATACACCTCCACGCATTCAGGACGCGTTTCCACGGATTGGAGGCCCAATAAGTCAATGAAAACAATTTAGAATTGGGCCAAAAAATAGTGCAGGCTGTTGGGGGCCATTAAGCGACTTACCGACCAAAGGAGAGGCTGAGAGGACGGTTTTTGGGTTCAGCCGAACCCTTCCTGGCGCCTCCCGCCATCTGCTTTCACGTGGATGGCTCGGATTTCTCCCCTAAGGCGGTTGGAGGGTGTTTGGAGCATATATATATATATATATATATATATATATATATATATATATATATATATATATATATATGCCCATGCTTCGCTACGGTGTTTTTAACTGCAATTATTTTCACACTGCTTTGGTACTTTTACTCGCTAGAAAATGTCTCAACTGATAGAGAGAAATACAGTAGCTCATAATAAATTACTATTTAAGAATAATTTCGAATAAAGGGAGATAGAAAAGACAAAGCTGGTTTGATTTTCACCTTTACACGGTGTGAGTCAACATGGACTCTGAAGATATGGGCAGATCTACGGGTGGCTCAAAAGCACGATCAACCAGGGAATCAGCGAGCAACCTTAGACCAATCGACGGAGCATGGTAGGTAGCAATCGTGTCTAGCCATCCGCTTTCCTTCCGCGACAGCGGGTACCATCACTCCGTGCTGTTATTATTTCAGCATTTCTTATTTTTAATTCTGGATTTTTGTTATTTCTAATAGTAATTTTATATGAACTCTAAACTCATATTTCAATATTCTTTATTTTTAAATTCAGAATTTTAGTTATTTATAAATTATATTTCTATATGGATTCTAGATTCTTTTTCCAATATTTTTTAAAAAAAAATTAAAAACCGGTACCTATAATATAATATAAGTGTCTAGAAAACAAAAAAAAAACGAGCCGAGCCTTATCCAGTCCCTCTCTCACTCTCGTCCCCTCTCTCTCTCGATCCTCGATCCATGCCGGCGGATCCCTCCGCCCTATCTCGCCTCCCTCGCCGGCGGACACTCCCTCTGCCCCATCTCGCCTCCCTCGCGCGACAGATCTGCCGGTGGCAGCGGCGTCAGCGGCAGCCGCAGGTGGATCCAGCGATGGTGGCGGCGGCCGCGGGCGGATTCGGCGGCGGCAGCTCCCTCCGTCCCCTCTTGGCTTCCTCCTGCGGCAGACCCGGCTAGGGTGGCAGCGTCGGCGGCGTCCGCGGGTGGATCCGTCGGCGGTGGCGGCGACCGCGGGCGGATCCGGCAGCGGCGGCTCCCTCCACCACCTCTCTTCTCCCTCCGGCGGCGGTGGTGGCGTCGGCGACGGTTGTGACGGCCGAGGGCGGATCCAGCGGTAGGCGTGATGTATGTATGATGTTCTTGCATGATTATGTGTGGATTTGTGATGATCGAGGTTGATTTTGGTTGATTTTTGGGACAAAAAGTGGTTGATTTTTTTTATCCGATTCTAAGAGTGATTGGGATTCGGGGGGTAGGGGGTGCGAGCGTGTGAAGGTGCACCGCGATGGACAAAGGCGGACTTCGTACGTCTTATGACGAACGGAAAATTACCAATCTTAAGATTAAGATTATGAGCATTGGCTCGATTCGAGGACATACAATGATTTATTTTTATTTTTGGATTGGATTAGATGGATCTGGAATCCTGGAACATGGTAGAAAGAAAAATTTGATGATTTATTTTTATTTTTGGACTGGAAAACAAAATCCTGATGATTTATATTTATTTTTGATTGGATTAGATGAATCTGGAATCCTGGAACACACGAACGAAACTGACATGTGACGATCGGAAAATTACTAATCATTTAATTATTATTATTATTAAGATAGAAAAAAAATGTTCGTACGATGCAATGGGAATCCCTTAATTTATCATTCTAAATCGTATATTAGGTGCTCGGGAACGCTTTGCTGCGGACTTAGACGGATTTGTGCGGTTTTTATTATTCTTCTCGTTCAATTTCTCTTCCTCTACATTCTACGTCCGGTTGGATTTTGCATGCGATGTATGGCGCGTGTGGGAATGGAGGGCTCGATTCCGATTGGGATTTTAGGAGAGGGGGTTGCGACGGAGAAAAATTGGCGTACGTTCAAGGTGATGAATGAAAAAATACTAATTAATTTTTAATTAGTTAAGACTTCTTTGAAAGTTGAGTCTACCGCACGCGCGTACTAATACATCTGAAAAAGACATAGGAATTTATATAAACATGTTTAAGTCAAATTTCAATCTTTTACTGTCAACATCTATAAAATTTACATCAAAGTTACATATATAAATATAGTATTATTATGATGTAATTATGCCAAGTTATTATATATAAATATGTAATTACACTACTGTAACTATGTAGTAGGAGTAGCTATATAGTATAATTATGCTGTAATTTAAGCCAAACAAATCATGAGTATAAAAGACCGGCTAGTGCTAGATTAGCATGCATGATGCATGTAGGAGCACAATATTAGGTGCAGCTGCAGTCGGTTTTGCCGGACTTCAGATAGCTGCATGCAGGAAGGTAGGACTCTTCGCGAGAAAAAAAAACCGGATGGAAGCACGTATCTAAACACAGATCAACGGCTAGAGCGGATGGTCTGAGCGTAGAGAGCACGTATCTAAACACAGATCAACGTATCTAAACCGGATGGAAACACGTATCTAAACACAAAAAAAAACGGATGGTCAGAGCGGAGAGAGCAGCACGCCTTATCTCCTCCCCTCGATTCCTCCGCCCGCTCCCATTATCTCATCCCCTCCACCCGCCCGCTTTCTCCTCTGCTGTGCGAGTCTGGCGACGCTCTCCATATCCTCCCCAACCCCTGGCGCCGCTCCCCTCTCCTCCGTCGCTCCCCTTCCTCCCCTCCACGCAGGCCGCCTCTCTCCCCATCGGCGGCGGCCGCGCCACTCCCCCACCGGCGCACCTCTCCGCGCCCCTCCCCAACCGGCGACGCCTCTCAACGCCCCCCGGCCTTCCCCACCGAGCAGCGGCAGCGGCGACGGCGCCCTTCCTTCCGTGAGCGGCGGTGACGGCGGCAGCGGCGCCCTGCCCTCGCGGCGAGCGGCGGCGGCGGCGCGGCGATGGTGGCGCCGCTTCTTCTCCCCACCGCCGGCTCCTTCTCTCCTCGTCAGGCGGTGGCCGCCGCACCGCTCTCTCGCCAGATCCGGCGGGCCGACGGCGAGGTGGTGAGGAGCAGCGCGCTCGCCCCTCCCTCTCCTCTCGGCATCTCGTGTTAATATTTTGGATGTTTTTTTTTTGATGATTCCGATTTAGATTTGGAGTGGGATTTTGTGTTTGATTTGGATTGTGATGATTTGAGATTTCGAGATAAATGTGGGATTCTATTTGTGTGATGACGGAATTCCGACTGGGATTTGTGCCGGGGGGTGTGACCGACGAAAATCACCGCACGGAGGGGTGACGATTGGAAAAATATGAATCTTTTAATTAGTTAATATATATATATATATATATATATATAAATAAAGCTGAGAAACATAGCCATTGTTTTTTTTATAAAGCTTCACCGATGCTGATATCTCAGATTTTTTTCAGCTTTCCAAGTCTACCCCTAGCTAGATTTTTGTTCTCATTAAAAAAAGTCAACACTATCTTTTCTTCTCAATGCTGATTTAATTATATTTTTCCATGCAAACATGGTTAGCTTGTCAACCGATTGCTAACTAAAACGGTTCATAAAGCACAAAATCAATATGTTTCCATAATATTGTTTTCACAAATTTGCACCCCATAGTCCATATATACTTGTTCTCATAATACTGTTTTTAACACCCCCTTTTTATTTGACTGTCATGCACTAAGTATTTAACAATTTATTTATTGGTAGATATGATGTACAGTTTTTCTTAACGACCAAGAGATAACATGATTGTTTCCTTTTGACTCATACCGTGCATATTACCCAATAGGATTTGTCAATGATATCTATATATGACACGCATTTTATATCTCTAAGCACATTTTTTTCCTCAACTTTACATCTGGCATCTTGCCAAAAAAAAAAGATACTCAGTCCCAAAAAGACAAATGCTATACCGTTTATATCTGGCATATTGAACAAAAAAAGATACGCAGTCCCAAAATGACAAATCTACCATGTTTAATTCATCAAACATACTAAGAGAATATGCCGTTTAGCTAATCACAAATCTCGGACAAACATGTGAAATTAAAAGGTCCACGCATATAAAATACAAGTCTAGAAAAATAATGGCAATATCAGTGTATCCGCAAGAAACATGAAAACTACATGAACTAGGGATTTTTACATTTGAAAAAAAATTATGACATCAATATAGGATGTTGGAACAGCCGGAAGGAGGGGATTATATTATATTATATATATATATATATATATATATATATAGCCCGGGCTCCATGATTCAAATTGAATATATACTCAATTTAAATTGAATATATACTCAATTTAAATGAGTATAAATTTTTTTTAAATGTTTAGGTATTAACATTAACTACTTTACTAACTAGTTTAGAACAAGTTCGAACTGAATTTAAATATGTTTTTGTTAGATTTTGATTCTACGTAGTAAAAAGTACGAATTACACCTTCGAACTATCGCGTTCGTCCGAATTATCCCCTGAACCACAAAACCGAACATTCCTCACCCTCAACTATGTAAACCGGACAAATTACCCCCCAAGATCCAATCCGCGGTGGTTTTGGTCTACGTGGTGTACGCGTGGCAGTCCAGTCAGCATTCTATTTATTAAAAAATGTGGGACCCACCTGTCTTCCCCTTCTCTCTCTCACTCTGTGTCTCACTCTTCCCCTCTCTCTCTCACACAGGTCGGCGGAGACGGGCCGGCGGCAGCGGGCGACGAGCCTCGTCCTGGAGCGCCACTGCGTGCTGCCGCACGCGCCGAGGGAGCTCGCCGCGCGCGTCTGCGTCGGCTTCGACCTGAACATGCCTTCAATATTACTCCAGCTCTGTTTCACCTGCTTGCTTGGAAGCAATCCCTGCACCCTGCTTCTGCATCAGATCACCGACAGTTCACGCAGCTAACTGATGCTGTGTGCTGCTGGTGCTTGTATCGTCCTCGGACAGGAAGCAATGCAGCCTTGCCGCCGGAGCAGGGGAAGGAGAAGGCGGCGGCTCCAGCTCCAGGCAGAGCATCTCGGACTGGAGCACGGCGCAGTAGTGGCCGAACGTCTCCAGCGGCACGTTCAGGTCGAAACCGACGCCGAGCGGGCTGCGGATGGCGGCCACGAGCCCGTTCAGCGGCGCGGCGGACGCGGACGCGACCAGCGCGCCGACGGCGCGCCCCATCAGCACCGGCCCGACGAGCACGTCCTCTTTGAAGCGGACCAGCGCTAGCACCGCCACCGGCGCGCCCGACTACCTCCCCCACACCCGCCTCCGCCGCGAGGTCCGCTCGGCGCGCTACGACGCTGGCCGCGCGCAGTGGCTCGTCGACGCCGTCGACCTCGTCACGGGATGCGCGGAGCGATACGCGGCGAGGCACCTCGTCGCCGCCGCGGGCGAGAACGACGAGAGGGTGGTGCCCGGGATGGACACGTTCCCCGGGAAGGTCGTCCACTCCGCCGAACGGTATTCGGCCGGCGCGTTCAAGGGGAAGTTCGTGCTCGTCGTTGGCCCATCCGCACGCCAACGACTGCCCGTCCGTTCCACGACCGCCGCCGCCGCCCGCACGCCGACCGCCGTGCGCGCTTTGTGCCTGTTTGAGAGAGAGAGGGAGGAGGGGAGGAGGAGGTATGGCCGCCTCTCCGCCATGGCCGCCACCGCCGCCTGAGCGTCGTCCTCATCGTCGTCCACCACTCATTCGTCAACATCCTCGTCGTCGTCCTCCTCATCACCCGCCGCCGCCGCTCCGTGTTCTCCGCCGCCGCCGACCCGTGAGTGAGAGAGAGAGAGGAAGAGTGAGACAGAGAGTGAGAGAGAGAGAAGAGAGAGGAAGAGTGACAGAGAGGAAGACATGTGGGTCCTACAGTTTTTTAATAAATAGAATGTTGACTGGACTGCCACGCGTACGCCACGTAAACCAAAACCACCGCGGATTGGGTTGAGAGGGGGTAATTCGTCCGGTTTGCATAGTTGGGGGTGAAGAATGTCTGGTTTTGTGGTTCAGGGGGGTAATCCGGACGACCGCGATAGTTCAAGGGTGTAATTCGTATTTTTTCCTTCTAGGTATATAGCATCCAAACATAGAATTAGTTAAGTATGTAATATTGGATTGTGAAATAAAGTTAAATTTGACTTGTTTTGTTGCTAGGTATATATATGAATCGAATACTTATAACTAGGTATATACTCACAATTTGAAAATTTTGAAAAATCTGGACGAATTTATGTATTTCATACCATGGTGCTCAGGCACCATGGTGTCCCATATGAGTGTCCTATACGTGTGTGTGAATGCATTGGTTAGACTACAAAAGACCATGCATGTCAGTCCACTTTGTTGATATTTGTTAATTTCAATGTACCAATTACTAAAGTTTAGAAACCTAAAACGTGTCAAAAGTAGTTAAAACGGCCCTTCAATTTATTTCAGAGGGGAAGAAATGCAAAGTTTTTTCAACTGTACGTATTTTTTACTATGAGTTTTCCACTAATCAATTGACAGATCTTTTAGATTAATGTATTAACGTATGGTGCCTCCTTAGTAGTTAGTATAGAGATATCCTAATTAATTTAGATACTTTAAAGTTTAAACCAAATATTATTGAAGAATACACACGTACGTTCTGATTGTTTAAATACTAAAAAAAACGAAAGTACTGCTTTGCACAAAGCACAATGCTACCTTGGTCGATTAATTTGTTATAGTTGCATGCCATTGACAATAATTAAGTTATAGTTGGCATCGTGACTAAATGCTCTGAACAAAGATATGGTTTCGACAGGATTAGCTTAGAATCCACATCGATATTTTGGGGCTCGCACTTGACCAATTATACACATGTAGGTTTATTCGGTCAGATATTTTCTGTTAGTTTTTATTAAATCGTATAGGATTCTAATTAATCTAGCCCTGTGGTGATATATCTACGACTTTGATATTATGACATATCTAATCAACAGTCATGTGTATGATTAACAACGACTGTGATATTATGACCTATCAAATCAAATGTCGACATATGTTCTGACTAACGTGAGAACTCATATAAACTCTCCAATTATTTATAATTGCTTTGACTCATGGTGCGCGGATAAATCTCAGATGTCCTCTTTTTAAATCATACAATAGTTTTTATATTTTCACTGCTTATAATTAAGGTCTGCACTCTATATTAACACCAACCCGAGAAATTAAAGAAAGAAAATAGCTATGCGTCCGACGGATTCGTACGACATGCATCCGAATGCTGCTTGCATTGGTGGAGAGAAGCTAAAGACGGTGATCGGTGCACATGATATGGTCGGACGCAGGTAGTACGAATCCGTCTTACGCATAGCAGTGCTCTTAAAGAAAACAGAAAGCAAGTAGAGACAAACTGAAACTGATGGATGCACGCAGTGTTAACCCGTATAGTAGTATATACGTTCCTGCATCCTCATCAGGAGGTCGCTGCACTCCCTCTGTGTGAAGCGGTTGCGGGTGAAGTCGCGGCGGAGCCTCTCGACCACGGCGTGCTCCTCCGGCGAGCCGCCGTTGGGGTCGAACTCCCACGTCTCCCGGCCGAGGAAGCCGTTGCTGGAGCGGAGCAGTGGGTTGCTTGCCCCCTCACCAAACTTTAGCTTCCACATCGTATATTGTTTAGCTTCCTGTTGGTGAACTGAAAATGGAGCTCCAACCAGTGGTTATTTATAATATAAGAGGCTAGGATTCATCCGTGCCACCTACTACTTCGTCCCAAAAAATATCCACGAAGGGAGTAACACTAGTATAGATCCTTCTATCTATGACTCTAATATGTTTAGAAATAGCGGGCCGTCATAAGGAAGTTATCTTAATCGGGCCAAAAAATACCCAATTGAGATATGGTCGCACAGACATGTTAGATGGGCATAAAACTTAAGCGTGTCACGGATGACACCTATCAGTGACGGGACACAACTTTAGGCCCAATTGAGATAACATTTCATATCTCAAACGGGCCTAAAGTTGTGGCCCGTCAGATGACCATCATCTGTGACGGGCACCAACTTTAGGCCCGTTTGAGATAACATTCCATATCTCAAACGGGGCTCAAGTTGTGACGTGCACCAACTTGAGGCCCGTTACAAATGACCATCCTCTGTGACGTGCACCAACTTGAGTCCCGTTTGAGATAACAACTAGGCCCGTCAAAGATGACTCATCAGTGACGGGCTATATACTTAATCTCTATCGGGCATTAACTAAAGCCCGTCACCGATGACTATTTTTCCATTTTTCATATGAAATGTTTATATTTGGAAGTTAACTATAGCAAAATAATTTAGTGCAGTATAATAATTCATTTTATGAGTCAAAATAATTTTACGGGTAGTAAATGATTTCAAATGGAAAAAATGTCAACAATAAAGTTGTATAACTTGTCAAGATTTACAACTTTTAGTTTGGTCATTTTTCAATATAATATTTTTTTGAACAGTTTGAATTTGAATTTAAAAATATGACAACTTCAAACAACATTTTCAAATACTAAATGATTTCAATTGAAAAAGTCGTCAACAACAAAGTTGAATAACTTATCAAGATCTAAAACTTTTATTTTTTTTATTTCTTCATCCGACAAAATGTTAGTAATATATATGTGTTATAGTGTATAAAACTAGATAAGAGATATGTCAATTTTGTGAACAATGTTACTATCACTTTGTCGTATGAAGAAATGACCAAAATAAAAGTTTTAGATCTTGATGAGTTATTCAACTTTGTTGTTGATGACTTTTTCAATTGAAATCATTTAGTATTTGAAAATGTCGTTTGAGTTTGTCATATTTTCAAATTCAAATTCAAACGGTTCAAAAAATGTTATATAGAAAAATGACCAAAATAAAAGTTATAGATTTTGATAAGTTATACAACTTTGTTGTTGATGACTTTTTCAGTTGAAGTCGTTCACTGATCTAAAATTCTATTTGAACTTTTCAAACTTTGAATTTCAAATTTCAAAATTTTTAAATAGAGTCAGATGGAGAAATGACTAAAATAAAAATGTTGCACCTCGATGAGTTCTACAACTTTGGTTTTGGTGACTTTTCCATTTGAAATCATTAGTAACCCCAATTTGACATCTTGGCCTAGGGAATAATAGGATTAATAGAATACTCATACCAACATGTTACAACTACTTTTTCGGAAGCCAATCTCCAAAGAACTTTGACGTTAAGTGTGCTTGGTCTGGAGCATTTCGAGATGGGTGACCGACGCGGGAAGTTTGAACTTTCCGCGTGGGAGCACATGAGTGAGAGCTAGCCAAAAAATAAAATTTATTATTTTTAGATTATACTCATCTGTGACGGGCATTAACTTATGCTATCTGTGACGGGATATAGTTAATGCCCGTCACAGATAAGGGTCATCTGTGACGGGCGCTAGTTGTGGCCCGATTGAGATAGGTCATCTGTGACGGGCTATAGTTTGACTGGTCGTCTGGGTCAAAGCTATCGGTGACGGGCTTTACTTAGGGCCCGATTGAGATAGAATCATCCGTGACGGCCGTTTGCCCGATTGAGATAGCTCTTCACATCAGTGACTTCTAGCCTGTGACGGACGCCATGCCCAATTAAGATGGGGCTTACTGCCCGATTGAGATGAGGGTATCCGTTCTAGTGTAAGTACCTAACAGTATTGACTAATCATTATCTTATGAGGTTTGCTAGAGAACGGGATACTTTACAGAGGCTAGGGTATCAGCTTCCTCCTCGTAAGTCTAGCATCATCCCCCTCTCCCAACTTCCATGTGCTCGCACCCCCCACGCCTTGAGCTAGTGCCATTAGTGTCGTAGGCAACGATACTGGTCACAATAGCAAGGAACGAGAGTTGAGCCGAGGGGAAGGGAAAAGAGAAGAGGAAGCATTGATAGTTGATACTTTGCAGGTACCAGCCCTAACCTTGATACCTAAGTACCAGATCTGATACGTGTGAGTACCAACCATGATACCCAGGCACCAGGCCTGATATCTACGGGTACCAGGTCTGACACCTAACCATGATATCCAGATACCAGGTACCAGGCCTGATACCTATGGGTACCAGGTCTGACACCTAACCATGACACCTAGGTACCAAGCCTGATACCTATAGGTATCAGGTCTGATACCTAGGTATCAATCGTGATATTTACAGATACCAGGCATGATACGGGGTACCGGGTCTGATACCTAAGTATCAGCCACGATACCACAGGTATCAGGCATGATACCTACGAGTACCGGCTGCTGATGATACATTGTAGACATACCTGCACACAATCAAGCGAGGAGCATGATGGCTCACCATCACGTTGCCCCTTCATCACCATCGACATCGCACGTTGAAGGAGGAGGCTGAGGAGCACACGTTGGGCCTTATCCTCCCAGTTCCCGATGACCTTGCTTCTTCCAAGTTGGCCCCGCCGCCATGAGAACTAGATCCAGTGGGTGTCACCATGCTTCAAAAGCATGAGACGGAGGAGGTGGGCATAGTACTCTAGATTTATTTTTGGGGCTGCTCTATCATCACCATGCCTGCATAGAAGCTCTTTTGTGGAGAGGAGGGGGAGAGGAAAAGGAGGGGCGAAGAAGGAGAGGCGGAAGAGGAGGATAACGAATGATCTGGAAGAGAGAGAAAAAAAGGGTGGGATTGGATGAGAGTAAAACGTTATCCACTTATCCCGTGTCTACGGGATACCGTACAGTAGATTTTCTCTTATCTTATACCAGCCCAGCAAACTAAATATTTCCATGCACAACATGTGCTCCCATACGTACTTCTGTCTTCCTGGGCTAGGCTGGGCTGGGCTAGGCTGGGCCCTTTTGACTTGTAAAATCTAAATAATCTATTTCATCTAATTGAAGATTCACTAGTACAGAACTGCTTATATCTGTGACGGAAGGCCTATCCTGTGTCGGGGTCTTGCGAACGGTCACACTATCATCATCTTTAACGGGCCAAAATAAACACCAACAGACATATACTCTTATAGACATTTTCCATATGAATATATTTTGAACTCGTCACCGATGAGACCTATCGGTGAAGGGCATATGTTGCGTCCTGACAAATACTATCTTTGCCGGGACCAAACCTTTCCCTGTCACCGAAGCGCGCCATCGGTGATGGGCTCTTATTAAGGCCCGATAAAGATGATGATTTAGCCTCGTCACCGATTGTTGTCATCGGTGACGGGCTCAGACTTATGTCTGACAAAGATTACTGTAAACCTGTCATAGTTGTTCGTTCGTTGACCGTTACCGATATTTATACACACTATATATACTCCAAAAGTCTAAGGAATGGTTATCCCACTGTTCAAGATTTTGGTGGGTGGTGTTAGGGGCTGATTTTTTTTTGTTTTTTTCAAAGAAAAACAGAAAATTAAAAAAAGTACATGAAAAATAGTAAACAATTGGCAGAAATTTAGTAATACTTACCTTACAAATTATTATCTAATATTTGTTCACTTTTGTAGTGATAGATCAAAGTTGAATGTATCGGACTGGGCGATATAGCATAGAGTATTGAACTGGCGTTTCAAAATTTATAAACGTCGTTGAGAAGGACATGAAAAGAACAAAGAGCAAATACATGACTTGTCCATGTGCAGATTGCAGAAATGTGAAGATGTTTGATAGCAGAGTGGACGTACACGCTCATCCGATATGTCGAGGATTCATGAAGGGTGTTGGAGGCTTGTCACGAGGACCTTCGACTGAGGCTGCCAAAACTTGATAGGCCCGGGCGAATGCTAGCCGAAGACCATGGTTTTCGCCTTGGGCGAAGTCAACAAGCGAACCCACTAGACGAAGCTGGAGGGATTTACTGTTGTCTACAACGCCTTCGCCACACGACCCAAGAAGCCAAGGGCCTATATGGGCCATCCGCCACTGGGAGGTCAATCATAAAGCCCATTAAGGAGCCCAAGACAAAATAGACACTGTTTACCCTCATAAGTGTACCTATCATAAGGGTATCCATATAAATTCCCCTATACACATTAACTCTAGGGTGTATGAGCTTGCACAGAGGCTATAAAATAGCCCCCTATTGGCATGTAATGGGGGGATCCTAAAAATTCCTCAAATTAATACATATTGTTTTACTTTCCACTGTGTGAACCACGTCTTTCGACGTACGCAATTATGAATCGACAACAGTTGGCGCAACCATTGATGCCACCCAAGAAATCGGTCAAAGAGAGAGAGAGAGAGAGTAGCGCCTAGAAGAAAGGAGGGAGAAGGTGATGTGGAGATAGCTGGCGAAGAACCAGCAAGGACCGAAGCAAAATCAGAGCCACCAAGGGGCGAAGGGGGAGTAGGCCGAAGCTGGTCAAGGAACCAAAGATGCAACCCAAGCGACGACTTCCACCCAAGGAAGCTTAGAAGGCAATGCTTCGGTGGCGCAAAAGGCGGAGATGGAGGCGATGTGACAAGACATGATGAGGCTGCAGGACACCCTTTGCCAAATGCAAGAACAACACCAGGCATACGATGCAGCCCTGCAGGCCAAGTCAACATCTTCAGCAAGACCTACTCCTTCTTTGGCTCCCTTGATGGGGACAACCGCGGTTCAAGCTTCACAAGCAATACAAGCTTCGACTCACTTAGTGCAGCCCTCTGCAGCTGTACAAGCAGTCCACACTGTGTTTCAAGTGGTGAAA